TCACTTTTGCTCTTGCACTGTTCCAGAAGCTGGGGTGCTGGTGTTGGGGTGATCAGCCCTGGTCATGTGGCCACTTGCACAGCCTTGGGAATACCAGAACAGATAGGACCTGGGACCCCCAAATGTTCTGAACATGAACCAACCTTCCAGCCCGGACCATCCTGCTGCCCTTGGACTATGGGAAATGAGCACACATCCGACTTCACCCACTCTTGCTGCAGCACATTCTGCGACTGCCACGTGGGGGAAGTGTCATAACCCAGACCCCGTGCCTATCCTCACTCGGGCCTCACTCGCCTGTTTGGTCAGCCAACACTGGCACTGTTCACATCCTGGCTGGTGGGACCACGAGGTGTGGCCTCCTGACACCCTGGTCAAGCCAGCCCTGGCCGCCTCCTTCCGGTGGGGATCGGGAGCCCTTCTCATTGGGTCTGGGTCAACACCGCCTTTGTGTATTCTCACTTGCTCTTCTTCAACTGAAAAATAGAAAGAGCACCAGTACCACTTTACAGAACTATTACACTTAGAGAGATAACTCATGTCAGGGCAGGAGGCAGGGCAGAGCCCAGTGCCACTGCTACAGCTGTGCGCGCATACTGACCTGCAGGACCAGTGAGAGTGACCTGGCACAGCAGTCTCACAGCACATCTGCCGCCCACCTTGAACCTCCCCCCACCCTTCTCGGCCTTGAAAACGGTGCCTCGTAATACCAAACCGCCCCGGGTCTCAGCAAATCAAATCGTGTTCATTCACTTGACAAATACACGCTGAAACACCCACCTGGAGAGGATTCACGCCTAATGAGTTAACTGCCCTTCTTAGAGAACACCCACCTCTTGAACCACCCCCGCATGAGTTATGTCTGGGAAGTGACACTGAACTCCGTTTCCTCGTCTATAAAATGCAAGCTAAGCCACCCTCCATCTCCAGCACGCTGCGCTACGCCCTGTGCAAACCCAGGAATCTACTTATCCAGCTCTACAGCTTCCGTTGTTTAAATGGTCTGCTGCGCAGCATCCTGTGGAAAGCGAACGACGGTTCTCTTCTCTGAGGGACATGGACTCGGGGGCCAGCCGGGGAGGCTGGCAACAAAGGAACACCAGAGGATGGGAAGAGGTCAGGGTGGAGAGGGGCAGCCGGGGTGGAGCTATGCCCGGTTTCCACACTGCCAGGCAGTGCCAGCTCCTGTCTCCTGCTCTTCCTGCCTTCCCAGAAGAAGTGAGGAAGGCCCCAGGGCGCACACCGCACAGGACCAGAGTCGGCTTCGCGGACTAGGAACGTTCATCAGCTCCAAATGCAGCCGCCCCTTTCCCTCCGCCAGGGAGAGGGAGCGGAGGGCACAAGGCCGGAGGGACACTGCCCTGACACCCCACACGTCTCCCGCAGCACACTGCCGGCAGACACTTCTGGCCAGCCCAGCCAGAGGGGCTCTAATCTGAATGGCAGCTCCAGTGCTTTCTCCCGGCCCAAGTCTCCTGTCCTGCAGACAACTTCTCAGTGTGCTTACTAGGTGCCAGGCCTCAGTAAGGATTTCCATGTAGACAGATGGCTGGCTCGTCTCCAAAGAGCACAGCTACATCAAGCAGCAAGAGTAAAGGCACCGGGCCCAGCACAGTAGCCTAGTGGCTAAAGGGTGGGGTTGAGCCAGGAACCCCCACATAGGTGGTGGAGCCCAAGAACCTCGACTACCCTGTGTCTTTCCAGGTACATTAGCAGGCAGCTGGACTGGGAGTGGAGCAGCCAGGACTTGAACTGGAACACCACTGGGGAGGCTGACATTGCAAGCAACTTTTTTTTTTCTTTTTTTAGTTTTTATTGGAAAGTCAGATATACAGAGAAGAGGAGAGACAGAGAGGAAGATCTTTCGTCTGCTGATACACTCCCCAAGCAGTGGCCGGAGCTGATCCAATCCAGACAGGAGTAAGGAGTTTCCTCCAGGTCTCCTCTGCAGGTGCAGGGGTTTGGGCCATCCTTGACTGCTTTCCCAGGCCATAAGCAGGGAGCTGGATGGGAAGTGGAGCTGTCAGGATTAGAACCGGCACCCATATGGGATGCCGGTGTGTTCAAGGCGAGAACTTTAGCCGCTAGGCAACTGCGCCAGGCCCTGCCCTCCACTTCTAACACTTCCTTCCCTGGATCTACACACCTCATGATTCAATATTTTCTTAACCCAACTACAATGGCTTCTCCTTCTTTGCTTTCCTCATAGGACTCAACCTGATGGAGTGAGCAGACTCGGTCTTGGGCCCATTATCTGCCCTCTCTTGTGGGGCAAACACACCATGTCATGGCTTTAAAATGGCGCTTAAGCTACACTTCTGTATTTGTGCCCTCTTCCTGGAGCTGCAGACTCCGTTCTACTGATCCAAAGGCCCCAAACAGGGCCTGGCTGGACAGGCGGTGGCACCTGCTGGCATGAGTATGAGCTGGAGAGTGGAGTCAGTTGAAATAAATTAAGCTTCAACACCCAATGATGTGTATGAGCGCTGAGTGGGATGTGGGACAGGCTGGACCAGTCCACTGCACATGCTAGCAGGTACAGGAACCAGTGCTGGGGACTGGCCCAGTGGGAGTTATCAGGGGTCACTCTGACTAGGCTGCAGCTCCTGCTGCTGTATGTGAAGGAGGGTCGAGTGTGTGGTGGGCCAGGCTGGACTGGACCACAGCACCCATCGGTTTGCATAAGAGAGACAGGACTGGAGATGAATCTGACCTAGCAATTGCAACTACGTGTGTGTGTGTGTGTGTGTGTGTGTGTGTGTGTGTGTGTCTCTGTCTGTCTGTCTGTCTGTCTGTCTGATGGAACGGACAGAGCCAGACCCAGCACTGTCTAGCAAAGCAAGAGTCAGGTTTGGAATCTGACCTCAGATAGGATTTCTTTGAGGATACCCCCAACTAAACATCTGGATTTGGGGCTCCAACCATGGGGACGGAACAGTGGAAGGCATACCCAGATGCACATGGAGAATTTGGCAGCCCACTGGAGCCTACGGAGGACATCTGATACAACTGAGGCAGAAGAGCAGAACAAATTGGTCAACTAACCCAGCCAAGCATTGGCAGCAAATACCTGGGTGAATGGAGACTCTGGGGTGGACTGTGTCAGCCAATGGCCTTGGAAGCATTTCCTCATCCTCAGATCTGCAAGATCGACAGAATGTCAGAACAATCAAAACCACTTGAGCAGGACCTTCAGAATATGCTCCACCTTGGGGACCATGGCATGACACTGGATGGCAGCTTCCCGGCCCCGGGTACTGAGGCGGTTGGCAGGCTGAGTGCGGCTTCTTCCTCCCAGATACAGGACGAAGAGAAAATGTGGAAACAATGGTCTCTCCTGCTCTCCCCAATCCTTGACCCTTCACATCCTAAACAACTTTGTAAACATCATCAAAAACAAACAAACAAAGACAGAAGGACCTCAGTCACCGGAGCCAACTTGTAACACCACACTGATGATACTCTTATGAATGTGCTTCGGTCCCATAAATATGACACCACCTGCAAAGTCTGTTCAGTCATGTTCAGTGGCTACAACAAAGCCACTGCAAGAGAAGCAGCATGGAAACCTTGTAACTGTCTGTCCTCCTTCTCATGTCAGTGTTTCCAAGTAACTCAGCAAGAAAAGTCCACTGAAGCAAAAACACATGACCAAAAGCCAAAAGTGCTTACACCAGGACAAGGCAACAAATCGGAGCCCCTCTTGCTACCCGCTAACCGAGGAGAGACCTCTGATATCGGTCATGTTGAGCAGATCTGACACCTGACCTTCTAAGAAAGACACTCGCTGGGTGCTGGAAGCGTGTGTGTGTGCACAATACGGTGCATGCGAAGCAAAGTATGTGCTGACTGAATGCCTTCCAAGAAGACACATGATGAGCAAATATCTGTAAGTTACAAATGATTCCAGCTATTCCAGGGAGGGAACGTGGTACTCACAAAATCCTGGTCTCAGAAGACCATGCACTGTGCAAGCTATTTTCCCCAACGTGTTAGTTATAAAGCTTTCTTAAAAGCAGCAAAAAGCTGTAGCTGCTGGGTACTGCCCCTTGCCTAGCTGAGGCAGCCCTGCAGGCCTAGCTGTTTAACAGGCCGTTCAGCTGCAGGAGGGCGACTCCGAGGGAGCACAGACGCACACCCCTCCCCTGCGGCCCTGGGGAGGCGCACCCCGGCACAGGAACACCCAGGATGGCTGAGCCTGGCAGCGGGAGCCCACCACAGCCAGGGCCGGCTCAGGAAGTAAAGCACGAAGCTCCGGCTGGCGTACAGTCAAGGACTTCCGAGACACAGGCAATCAGCAGTGTGAACAACATCTTCAATACTGTACTGCGTAAAACAAATGCTTTAATTCTTTAGTGTTTAAATTTTTTTTTTCTTTTATACTCAAGCCTGCCTTGAAGAGAAGCACAAAATTTACCAGTTTACTTTAAATAAACAACAAAGAGACCCAACTGCAGCCCCGCTCTGTGCACAGCAGCATCCTGGTTCAACAAGGGCACCCTCGGCTGAGACGGGGCTTCACTCTGCAGCTGTTACTGCCTTTCCAGAGAGTGAAAACAGATACACCTGCCACCGCGCCTACTGCCCTCCCCGGAACCCCAGCAGGCTCCCAGAAAAGCCCACTTCTGCCAAACACAAAATGTGATAAACTCAGCTCCCACGTCCCCAAAAGTAGAAAAGCAGAACTCGTTTCCACTGTAAAACCAAAAACGATTTTCCAAAAAAGGACAGTTTCTCATAAATATGAAAAAAAAATTTCCCCCCTTGTTTTTCTTTTTGCCTCCCTCTAATACTGCCTTTTCTTGTACAAGGCAAACCGTATCTTTTTGTTTGTTTTTTGATCCATAAGAAAAGCACTGTATCTTGAACACAAATCATTTCCAAGAATAGTGATAAAACTGTGCTTAAAAAACTGTAAAATTAAGCCACCTACATTACCTTGATGAAGTTAAAAACGACAGTTGGCACTAAGATCGCTATTCCAAATATTTATGTCTAAATCAATTTTTTAAATGGTTTATTTTGTAAGAACATATTCCTAATCCAAAGTAACTATGTTTTTTAAAAAACTTTGGCCACAAAATTTACAAAACTCCTTTCAGTTCAACCTAATAAAAGAGACACCTAAAAATATTCCACATCGAGTCTATCTTAGAAAGTTGAGCTTCTGAAGCGTCCCAAAGGCACGGTGTTCTGGAGGACAAGGGCGCTCCTGCCAGCACTGTGTCCCATGGGAAGCGTCCATGAGTGGCTCCAGGGAACCCCGGCAGGCACCGTCCTCCTTAGGTCGCGGGTCTGGAAGGCTCACACGTAGGCTCCCAGGGCTGCGTGGAACTCTGTGAGGCACTGGACCAGCTGCTGGAACTTGGGTCTCTCCTCCGGATCCAAGGCCCAGCAACAGGCCATCACGGCAAACCTGCAGAGCGACAGCAGGCGGAGGTCAGCTAGTAACAACACAGGACTCGCCTAGCCTGTTGGTCAATAATATGCCAGTTACGTTCCTGTCTAATGTGGGCATATAGGAGATGGCATATTAACCACTGGCCAAGCCTCTATCTCCCTCAGTTCTACAATAAAAAGAAGCTAACACAAGTTACCTGGGTACGTGTGGACGCCAGTTTCATGACACCAAATGAAAATAACTTACACACTGATTCCATGTAAACATTTGCCTTATCCTATACTGCAATTCTGAGGAAAGGGCCTTAGACAAATAGCAAATTCTAAGCTCTAACAAATACTGGATGAACAGTATCATGCATGCAAAAGCCACCATCTTGCCTCAGAGCATTCTAGAACTTGGAACACACAGGAGGCAATCACCTCCCTCCCCAGGCCACAACATCTTCCTTATGACACCAGCCAGCAAGGCAGACAAGGACAAAGGCTTTGGAAACGACAAGGTCTGAGTCAACTTCCGGCTGTATGAGCAGTCGGGTACGCATTCTCTACAGAGTGGCCCAGGGCACGCAGGCATCTCACGGCACACTTTAGTCTCTCAGATTAATCAGCAGCGCTTGGTTCCTGTACTACGAATAGAAGTACAAGGCGTTCTAGCGTCAAATGCATAAAACAAAACGCGTAAATCTGTCTGCCTCTGGCTCTCGGCAAGGGCCTCGTTCAAGTCCAGTCATGAAGCTCAAGAGAACACATGGCATATGAACATGGAAAGCTGCTCTGTGTCTGTTATCTCAACGAAGCAAGCCAGATCCAACCCACGCCTTCCAGCTGGGCACACTCACAGTTCATCGGGGCAGTTGATGGGCTGGGCTATCCGGTAACCATCCTTCAGGTAGGCGGCCATCTCAAAGGGGTCGATGTCGACGTAGGGCGTCTGGCCCAGAGTCATGAGCTCCCACAGCGTCACTCCGAAAGCCCACTAGGAGAGCAGCAGCAGCAGAGTCAGGCACCGGAAGGAGCTGCTGGGCACCGCTAGGAAACAACCACGCTCCTGCCTCATCACACTCAGCTCGTCTTGCTTGGATGGGAGACAGCACTTCTGTGAATTAGCCTGCATACTTGTCTGGCATCTCCTAAGCGACTATAGTTTTTGTTCTTTTTTTAATTACTGATTATAACTTGTAGCGCTCAATGTCATGAATTACATCTAAGATTCTACTTGTATGAAAATTTTTAACTTTGAAAATTACGGCCAGTTTACACAGCTGAGAAGTAGAGAGTGAATGTAATTTTAGTCTATGTTTAGAGAAGAGTATCCTGAGTGTGAAAGGAAAATTATATAAAACATGACATTGTGAATTTTTTACTACAGATGGAAACACCCTGGGGCCAACGCTGTGGCACAGTGTCTTAAGCCACTGCCTGCGACAGCAGTATTCTATAAGAGGCGCCTGCTTGTGTCCTGGCTATTCTACTTCCTGTTCAGCTCCCTGCTAATGTGTCCAACAAAGCAGTGGAAAGCACCCTCATTGGAGCCCTGGAAGAAGTGCCTCTCAGGAAACGGAAGAGGGGCATTTCCCAACCACTTCGTGAGCAACATTACCAAACCAAATACCAAAACCAGAGGTTCAACTTTTGGAATCAAATACCCTTTTCAATGACAGAGAGGATGGAAGCAGTGCAGTGCTCAAGCTTGAGCTGGCTTTGGGAAAGGGCTGTAGTCTGCTGGAGTTCTCCTTAAGCCCACTGGGGCATCCATCATGCTCAAGAACAGAAAGCAGGGCCAGCACTGTGGCACAGTGAGTTAGCCCGGGCCTCCAACACCAGCATCACATCCAAGTGCTGCTTCAAGTCTGCTCCCTCACTTCTGACCCAGCTCCTGCTAACACTCCTCGGGCAAGCAGGTGAGGGCCCGAGCACTGGGAACTGCGATAAAGTTCCAGGTTCCTGGAACCAGCCTGGTCCAGCCTGGCCACAACAGTTCTCTGAGGGACCATCTGTAAATGGAAGCTCTCTTTTCTCTTTAAATCTGCCTTTCACATAAAATAAATACATCATTTTTTAAAAGTAATTTCAAATTAATAAAAGTTAGAAGACAATGCCTGCTCACATGCAGGTAGGTATCTGCCTGCTGGAAGACATCATTCGATCTAAATCTTGATACTGACAATGATTAGTAAACATAATGCTTAGGTTTTGAACATGGTTCAGTTTCCATAGAAAAGTGAACAGGACTCAAACATATCAAGGTGGCTAGAGGGCTATGTCCCTTCCTTCTTTCTGGATGACGAAGGCCTGTTCTTATGTACTGTCCTCAGTAGAACTACAGGAAGGGGTGATTAACAATCACAAAATAATGGTTAATAACATGCTATATTACATGTTATTAAGATAAACATTTAACGGGGGTGGGAAGGGGGAGGAATTGGAACTGGGATAAGGGAAATACCAGGAGCCTATGGAACTGTATCAGAAAATAATAATAATGATAAAATGTAAAAAAAAAAAAAAAGAATAAAAATACAGAATAAAAAAAAGATAAACATTTAGGAATTACTTCTCTCACATTGCTTCTCACCAACAGTCCACCTACGGTTCTCACACTCCACGTTCCGCATTACAACACTGAAAAGCACAGTGAAACCAGGCACAAGCCAGAAGGGCACACTGCAGTTTCACTTCCTCAAATCCAACAAAAGTGATAAATTGCATGTTGGCTAACCAACTCTTAAAAAAGAAATGAAGACCAAATGGCCCAAGGATGATTTGTGGAAAACTTGCTCTCTAGAGTCTTCTGATAAGTAACCCAACCAGTTAAATGCAGACAAGCTTATTCTATAATTTCTTTCTGTCTGACGTAGTTGGAAAGGGGGCAAGCAGAAGGTCAAGTTTTTTTCCAGGGTTTCAGCAAGATTGTGGCATGAACATTCTAGACAACAATGTTCTATTTTTCTCACATATTTCCCCAATCTGTGTTGTAACTTTTTAAGAAATTAAAAAAAAAATCCTTTTTAACCAACCACCAATATGAATATGGCTAGTCAAAAAGTTACACTAGGGCCCGGTGGCATGGCCTAGGGGCTAAAATCCTCGCCTTGAACGTGCCAGGATCCCATATGGGCACCAGTTCTAATGCCAGCAGCTCCACTTCCCATCCAGCTCCCTGTCTGTGGCCTGGGAAAGCAATCGAGGACGGCCCAAAGCTTTGGGATCCTGCACCCGTGTGTGGGATACCCAGAAGAGGTTCCTGGATCCTGGCTTCGGATCGGCATAGCCTCGGCCGCTGCGCTCACTTGGGGAGTGAATCAGCAGACGAAAGATCTTCCTCTCTGCCTCTCCTCCTCTCTGTATATCTGACTTTGTAATAAAAATAACTCTTAAACAAACAAGCAAACAAACAAACAAAAAAGTTTCACTAAACTCTTGCTGTCTGTAATGCTACCCGGTGTCTTGAGGTGGGACCAGTGCACCTTTCCACCCAGTTGCACAGGTGACACTACTGCCGTGGTGAGTCCAGGAGGCAGAGGCCTGAGCCACAGAGAAGTACTGTCTGCCCTGTTGGGTTTTGGATATCACGTGGGAGCTATCACCCCTGACTTCCTTCCAACCTCTCCCTTTGGGGATGACATTTCTGTCATATGACTGTCGCAGCCCTACATTCTGGAAGCATGTAACTAGTGTGGTTTCACAGGGTTGGTACTGGAGAGGATTTAGTCTGAGCAGAAATTGTACCATGAAGCTCAACAAAATCTGAATCAGATAATACAGAAGACTTTGGATTTTAAAGCCTAAAGTGCTTCTGGAAAGTTCGGCCTTTCTATTGCTACTGGGATGGAATGAAGCATTTTGTTTATGAAATGAATTGAGAGCAAGTAGAACATGATGGACTGAAGGTTTATATGTCCCCTCCCCCCCCCCGCAAATTCATATGTTGAAACCCTAGTCCCAAAGCAGTGGAACTAGGAGTCGGGGACGTTGCAAAGTGGTGGGACTGTCATTAGTAAGATGCGTAGTGTCCTTGTGACAAGAAACTGGCAGTAAGCTCAATGACTTCTAAAGCCATCGGAGACCTGGGAGGAAAGATCAACATTTACAAACGTAGGCAAAGACCCTCACTAGGGCCTGCAAGACAGCTCAACTGACTCATCATGCACCTCCAAGCACCAGGACACCATAGCGGCACTAGTTGATGGCCCAGCTGCGCCACTTCCCATCCAGTTCCCAGCTTGTGGCCTAGGAAATCAGTAGAGGATGGCCCAAAGCCTTGGGGCCTGCAACCACATGGGAAACCTGCAAGAAGCTCCTGGCTTGGGATCAGCTCATCTCTGGCTGTTGTGGCCACTGGAGGTGTGAACCAGGAGGTGGAAGATCTTTCTGTCTCTTTCTCACCTTTAATCTGCCTTCTAATAAATAGATAAAATTTTTTTTAAAAAACGACCCTCATTAGACACCTACTGATGTTTTTTAAATCTCAGACTTGTAAAATTATAGAAATGTGAAAAATTAATCTTGTCTCTGCAGACCAGTTTATGGTCATTTGTTATAGCAGCCAGAAGGTATAAAGACACTATTCCCAATTTCAGAACATAGTAACCTTCCAGCACAGAGTGTCACACTCAGCTGAGAGATCACTCCTGCTAGGACCCTGGGGACCTGAGACTAGGAAGAGAAGCCAACACAGGGGCCTCCGGACCCCCCATGCACGGTATTCTATCCAAGCAGATGCTTAAACACTGCTGTGCCGGAACACGAGGGCCTGCGAAGGGAGCAGTGAACACAAAGACGAAGTCGAACACCTAAAGGAACGGCAAGGACGAGTGTGAACACAACAGCCCAAGGCCAAACTCAGACGGAAAGCACAGCCAGCAACCGCGTGCCTCTGCAAGCATGTTAGCCATTCCTGCAGGAAGTCCACGTGTGCTTTATCCCAAAACATCAGTGTGACGACAATATTACTAAATAAAAGTGAATAATTTCTTCTTTTAAAAAAAGTTTGGCTTCAATTTTGATTTATTTATTTTTATTAATTTGAAAGCTACAGTGAGAAAGAGAGATCTTCCATCAACTGGTTTACCTTGCAACAGCCAGGGCTGGACCAGATCTGGACCAGGGCTGGACTCCATTTGGATCTCCCATGAGGGCGGCAGGGCCTCAAAAGGTACAGAATGCATCAGCAGTAAGCTGAGCTTGAAGCAGATGGGATTCAACGGGCATCCAACATGGCCTGAGGTAGCTTAACTTGTTCCCTCTACAACAGTAACCTCCTAACAGTGTCTTAACAATAATCCTACTATATCTAAGCTTTGTTCCAAAGCTAAGGTCTTACTGTTGTCTTTAATATTAATACCTCTTAATGTAAATGTAATACTTAATGAAGTTCTAAATTGTTTTGCCATGTAAAATCTATAATCACAAAGGAAACAAATAAGTATTGAAGACCTAAGGATTAGTCTAAAACTAATATTGAAGACTCAATATAAAATAGAAAGTTTTCTGTACTTTTTAAATGATAAGCCCTCTCTGGTAACTTTCTTGGAGAGTCCAGTAGTTCAACAGACCACTCTCACAGGTATATGGTGTATAAATATGAGGGTCTCCAGTTAAAGCTGGCATGGGGTGTGGCAAAGACCTTCCAATGGCACAGGGACAAAAGGAGCAGTATGAGGCAGCATGTTGTACATGCCGAAGGTCACTGGTGCACACAATACATAAGGTAAAGGCAAAGAGGAAACGCCGATTTGTCCTACGCCCTAAAAACTGTTCCAGTGCCTTAAAAGGGTCTCCTTCACTGCCATAAGCATTCTGAATAAGATTAGCATAAAGTCATTTCCTTGACTTAATTTTCCCAAGGAAACTATTTTTAAACTCAACATAATAATTTAAGGACAAGAAAATCAACAAGAAATTCCTAACTGTGCATTCCTGATTGCATTCAGTTGTTTTACAGAAGCTAGTTCCTCAATGGCAGAATTCTGTTAACTACTATAACTAAATCACTCAAAGATGACATAAATCAAGGCACTTTACATTCAAATAAAGGAAAAGTCACATTAGACAATCTATGGTGGAGCCCACATCTGATGAACGCAGAATAAAAACAATATCCAGACATTCTTAAGAATGTCTATGATGACATCATATCTTGGAATGGTTTTAGAAAGACATTTATAACCCGTCAAATCTAACTGTGCATATTTCCTAAGCTCAACAGTGAGAAGCTGATGTTAACATTACAAGAATCTTGACATACTGAAACACTGAATCCTTCCAGTAAAATTGTGGAAACACAACCAGGAGACGCAATGTATTTTTTCTAAGACAAAAACAAATCATGTGAAATTCTTAAGTCCGAAACAATACAAAAACGTTTAAGGGGCTCTTAAAGGAGAGACTGTTCCCTGTCTGACAGCAGTAGCTGGGTGCTACACTTAGACTTCAAAGGACAGACGTACACCTGCCCAGGTTGCCTTGTACCGAGCTAAGTGTCATACTGAGAAAAGCAGCGAACAACTGCCAGGCATCCTGGGCCTGGTTATTGCCAAACCTGTGGTAACTACGCCAGTGTGACAGCATAGTTGCCTGTGTGTTTGTGTGCGTGTGTTTTAAACCCCTAAGATGTCAGGGCAGATGCCAGTTTGCCAGCAGACAGGGTCGGGGGCCCGTATGCAAATGTGCGTGAGCCCTAGGTAGGACGACAGGCTGGCATGGCACACTACCAGAGGACCAGGCTTGGGGATCTGTGCACTGCTGGGCATGGGGGGCTGTGGATTGCTCAAGGAGGAGGGCTAGAGATGTGTGGGAGGGAGGACTGCTCAGGGGGAACATGACAGGTGAGGAGTGACTTCTGGGGGACGTCAGGCTACTACACGTGTAGGTAAGCGAGGGAGCTGAGGCTGAGTGTTTTAGAGGAGAGAAACCAGAGGAACTTTTGAGGCCAAACCAATACACCATTCACATGGGAGAGGAGAGGTAGGCTAAGAGTGTATCAACCATGGCCTACTGGCACACACGAAAGCTATAGCTGGGGGCCTACCTGGTAGGACTCACCCACAGCACCTGCTATTGAGTGTCAGAACAGGGTGTGGACTATGTTAGCTTGGGCCATAACACTAACCAGCTCAAGAGAGAGCTGGGTCTGGGAGCAGATTCTGTGGGGATCTTGGGCTCACTCCTGTGGGACTGCCAGACCAGCTGGCTTGCTGGAGGACTACGAGCAGTGATGAGCTGAGCTAGGCATGACCATCATGGAACTCACCAACACTCATGGACACTAGGTTTGGGAACAGGCTAGGCTTGTCCAGGTTGAAGCACCTGCAGGTGCACCCAAGAATTAGGTGGGGGCAGACAGGGCCACAATAATGTCCCAGTACACACGAAGGTTGAGATTGGGACACAGGTCACAGACTTCTGGCATGTGTGAGATCTGGGAGTGGGCCTGGCTGGGGAACTTGGTGAGCTCCCTGGTGGACCACAGTTTGCACTGGTGAGCACGTGAGTCAGGGTTGGGTGTTGGTCAGGCCAGGCAGGGCTGCTTCACCTGTCAGCATGTGTGTGGGTTGGCTCTGGGAGGGGGCGGGGAAGGATGGACCAATCAGGGCCAAACCATAGCACACTCGCATGCACAGGAGCCAGGAAGGGGTGCGGGCCATGCTGTGCTAGTTTGGGCTAGGCTATCAAACTTACTGGTTTGCATGAAAGCCAGAAATGTGGGTAGACTGGGCAAGACTAAGTTGTAGCACCCACCAGTGAGAGGGGACTGGGCAAAGGCCAGGCCAGGCCAGGCCACGATGCAGCATCTGATGGCATAAGCCAAGACAGGAGATGGGATATGCTGGGCTGGGTCAGAACAACCACCAGCATGCACAAGATCTGTGGCTAGGAGCAGGCCTGGTCAGGGAGCTAAGGTGATGCCCGGGCTGGGCTGCAGTTTCCCCTGCTGATCACAAGAGCCAGAGTGTGGATGGTGAACTGGGCTGGACATGACTGCAGTATGCCCAGTTCTTGCTATTGTGTTCATTAATGAATAAATAGGTTGAGGACGTCTCTGTTACTCTGCTTTTCAAAGAAATAAAATCTTTTTTAAAAATCAGCATATTGGGGCCTGGCATGGTAGCCTAGAAGCTGAAGTCCTTGCCTTGCACGTACTGGGATCCCATATGGGTACCAGTTCTAATCCCAGAAGCCCCACTTCCCATCCAGCTCCCTGCCTGTGGTCTGGGAAAGCTGTTGAGAACGGCCCAAAGCCTTGGGACCCTGCACCCGCATGGGAGACCTGGAAGAAGCTCCTGGCTCTCCTCCTCTCTGTATAACTGACTTTCCAGTAAAAATAAATCTTTTTAAAAAATCAGTGTATCAAGGAGCTCCTACTTTCTAAACACATAAAATAAGCATATTAATAGTTATATAACTACAAAAATCTTTAACAACTTATTCACATTTCAAGACTTTTGAATATCACATTTTTCAATAAGCAGATCTTACATAGTCTCAATCAGTTAAATGGAAGCCCAAAGATATGTCTTTGTGCTAATCCCTGAACCCTGAAAATACCGTCTCCCACGGCAAAAGGTACTACTGAGACAAAGTCAGAGATGTCACCACAATAAGGAATGCCACGAACCACAGACGCTGCAAGAGGCAAAGGACAGTGCCTCCTCAAGGGCCTGGCCTACAACTTGATCCTGCACATCTGGAATCCAGAACTGAACTGAGGGAGAATAAATGTCTGACACTTTCCAGTACCTGGCTGCAGCGGCAATGGGAGAAGGGCCGAGGCTAATGTGTATCACTAATTTAGTGCACAGGAGCACCCTGTTTAAAAGGTAATCCTTGAAACACACAAACTCTGAAGTAAAGAAAGATAACCCTTTTCATGGCGTAGATCAACTATACTGAAACACAAGATACAACAATACAGTGAGCTGAGTTCTTACAGGGGGAACTGAAGCAGCCCTCCCCCGAGGGCTCCATGCCACAGAGCAGCACCGAGTGACCGCCCGCATGGGGACCTCACGTGCAGCTTTCCTCTCTAAAGCTCCAGCTGCAACAACAAAACACAGCAGGCAAGAGGCAGGACACACCACAGCAAGCTTACTGTTCTAAATCAGACTGAAAGGTCAAGTGACAGAAATTAAGAACGGCAAAATTCCCACAAGGAGTTGTGGCTTCTGGAATTCTATGCAGTAGTAGGTTTAAAGGCTCCAACTGTGTGATCTGGTTGAGTGACAGAACAAACATAACCTGACAGAAGGAAGAGAGAGATGTGTGGGAATTTGCAAGTTTATATAGGCCATGACACTTGGAAGAGATCATTTAAGAGAAAAGCAGGTACAGTATCACTGCCTAGCAACCACTGGGTCATTCTGAGATTTCACTAAGAAAAAGCTCCAAGCACTGTAACTCTCTAAACCGCCACATCTGACCTGTCCACAGCTCAGGAACCAAGGAGCTCATCCACAGAGCTGCCACGTCTCTTAACCTGGCTGACTGGAAGCTAACTATACTTGCCTCCTGCATGAAAATTTCAAGGAACAGTTACCAGAATTTAAAACATCAACAAAGACAAAGCGAAAGAGTGGCAAAGCATTTTCAGACAGAAGACCTTTTCTCCATGCTGTCGGATCCAGCACTTACCACATCACTGGCACTAGAAAACTCATTATTAACGAGACTTTCCAGGGCCATCCAGCGAACTGGCCTGTTCTCGTTGTCCCCCAGGCAGTGATAGTCCATGGGGAACAGGTCTCTGGAGAGGGCATTGTCGGTGATCTTAACCTGAAGTGTGTCATCAATCCTGAAAAGAAAAAACACGGCTCTCAATGCACTCCGGTACCAGCCAGTGGATGAACTACACCTGAGTGCCACAGTCACTCGAGCAGAGAACACCAAACCTGCGCAGCCCTGAGCTGCAAGTGACGCTGACAAGCCCGTGGCACTTACACACAGTTCCTGGCAGCCAGGTCTTTGTGGATGACTTCTCTCCTGGCCAGGTAGCTCATTCCACAGGCAATCTGAATAGCCATGTGGACCAGATCTTGCTGAGAAATTGCCTGGGGTAACAGAAAACGACGAGGTTTTCAGATAGCGTAAAATGAATGATGACACTGCTTATTTCATTGCACAAGTACTGTTACACACCCACATACAGGGGCTTAAACAGTTACCACCTGACCAAGAACATGTCCCCATAGCTCACTATTCTGTACTGATATCAATACAGCCCTTGTTAGACCCACTTACACGTTACTGGACAATCTCATCCGTCAGATGTTGCTACCCAATCTTTACTAGCTGCCAGTCATCTGGTCAGCGAATGCACTGGGAGCTAACATAAGCTCTCTAGATGCAAAGCAGCACTGTGGGTGAGGAACAATTCTTTCCCAGGTGATGCTGCTGGGCCACCATACAGACCCACTAGCTTTAACCTTGTCAGCTTCCACAAAAATGGACCAAGTGACTTTGTAGAGTCTGTTCTCACTGCACAAGGGAATCAGCAAGAGCTTGGAAGAATTCTCAGAAAACAAGGAAATGAGACTGTGTACAAAAGTACAAAGAGCCTTCAAAAAGCTCATGGAATGTGTGCATTAGGGAAAAAAAACTAGCAATAAGTTTAAAATATTTTTCATTAAAATCTCTTTTATTTTGTTTCTGAAAGGCAGAGGCAGAAAGAGATGAGTCAAGAGACAGAAATCACCCATCTGCTGGTTCACAAATTGCTGTCAACTGCCAGGCCGGGCCAAGCCTGAGTCAGGAGCCAGGAGCCTAGCCCAAGTTTTTCACATGGATGGCAGGGACCCAAACTCCTGAGTCATCCCTGCCCCATCCCAGGGTATACAGTATCAGCAAAGCTGGGGTTCGGAGCGAGTCAGGACTCAAACTCAGGCACTCCAGTAATGGACGCAGGCATTACTCCTTGAGTCAAACACCCACCCACAAAATAAAATTCTAAATTGTGCTTAATTCATTTTTCCATGAACTTGTTGAAGTATCAAACTACAAGGGAAAGCTTTAGCATCAGTGGAGTACAACCCTCAAGACAAGAATCACCAACCGCCATTCTTCTCTCAGACAACAGGTTATATAAATGCTGTGGATTTCTCTGCAGTTCTCTAAATTGTTTCTATGTAAGAATGTTAACTTCTGTCAAAGAAATTAGTAAACACTTTCAGTAGAAAATTGGTATCTGGAAATGTTTTTCTCACCTGTGGATTGTTGGCCTCTACTAATTTGCACTGCCTTAAAAACAATTTGAGATTCCCCCAGTTCATGTAAGGCAGTATCACCATGGGCTTTTCTCCTTCTTCTATACACACGTGAGTAATAGGAAGTAGATTTCTGCAAAATAATAATGGGAGGAAGTAAGTATCAATCCTCAAGGGACTATTTTTAATAAAAACCATAAATATAACTTAAAACAAAATCCCAAACATACTTAAGCATGCATGGTTACCAATTTGCAAATTCTGTCTCTTACAGATGTTTAATGAAGCAATAATGTCAAGGGAAGGACACTGTGACCTCTGGGTTAAGCACTGCGAGATGCCCCCATCCCCAGGCTGTGGGGCTGACTCCCAGTTACTCCACTTTGGACCCAACTTTCTGTCAACGAATCCTGAGAAGCCTCAAAAGACAGCACCCCCCAGGCTCCACAAGGGGAACCTGACACCTTGCTTCGGCCTGGCCCACAACTTACTGCTGCAGACATTTGGGGAGTAAGTCAGCAAACAGGAGATCTTTCTCTTTCTCTATCTCCCTTTCAAGTACATGAAAATGAAAACATTTAAAAAACAATTTAGATACTAGTGATTCGGTGTTAGCAGGGCTCATCTGCCTGCAGAGCTGGCACCAGACCGTGTCCTGGCTGCTCTACTTCTGACCCAGCTGTCTGCCACTGGCCTGGGAAAGCAGCAGAAGCTGGCCCAAGGCTTTGGGTCCTTCTACCCACACGAGGTCCAGAGAAAGATCCCGATTCCCAGCTCTGGTCATTGTGGCCACCAAGGGGTAAATAAATGGATGAAAGATCTCCATCTGTCCCTCTCTCCGTAACTCTTTCAAGTAAAAAACACACCTTAAATATATCAATCAGAAAAGCTACATGAATAAGTACAATTCATGTGGTAATAGTAAAAAGTTGCAAACACCTTGAAAATCCAGAGTAATACAATAAGATATGTAAACCCTAAGTGGTTACAAAGATGTTACATAAATAAGTTTATCTTAAAGGAAAGCAAGATACGTAATTTGCATATCTACAGGATAATTACAAGCATAAAAAAATATTAAATCAAAAATAGGCTGAATTAAAAGTTACTCTCTGCATAAAAATGTATTTATTTACACTATTTCTTTGAGAGATACATGTTGGTTTACTCCCTAGATGCCCACACAGCTGGGAACTCCATCCAAGGCTGTCGGTTAGATGGAGCCATCCCCACCGCACTAACAGGAAGTTGTCATTCCCACCCAGGAACTCCAACCGGATGCAGGAATCCCTCCTGCAGTCCTGACCACCAGGTGAGAGGCCTGTCCCTGAAAGTGTTCTCTGACTTCTACAGCAAAGGGTAACTTCTACTTTGCTTTTTCTGTACCCTCTGTACTTGTCTCAACGGATGAAATGTCACCTTTTAAAACCACAATCACGAGGATCTAGCGGGCTCACACCACACACGTGTGTCACATTGCTAATGTGGAAAGCACTGACCGGGAAGGAGCTTGAAAAGCGAGGCTCAGAGGCCGGTAAAGCTCCAAGAAGTCACTCCATGGCAGGCTTCTGCTTGCATTAGAGCAGCAGTAACTACGAGAGCCACCTTGTACAGGAGTGCCCATGCCAGGGACAACAGTAGGACAAAATATTCAGATCCTCGTCCAACTCCAAGCCCTCTGTGTGGATCTTTTCTCAGGGAAACAAGGAGGAACGCAGAATGATTCGTGTCTACTTGCTAACAAACCCACACACCCTAAAATAATGACAAGTTTACCCACAGGATAACCTGAGGATACCATGATTTTAGGGTGATTAGCAGTTTCCCAATCTCCTTAACCCTAAAAATAATATTCTTCTCTTTTCTTCATGGATGAAATTCAACTAGAGAGCTCAGGCATTTTGTACAGACACGGCAAATTTGCACTGTGAGGCTAAATGTTTTATTCTACCACTAAAAGAGTAAAACCCTACTGGACAGAAGCAACACTGGGTGGAACCTACCTGCGTGTCTACCAACAAATGAATGTATAAAGAAAATGGTGTATATGCACAATGGCATGAAATTCTATGATTTGCAGGAAAACGAATGGAACTGGAGAACATCTTGTTAAGTGAAATAAGCTGGACACAGAATACACTGCATACCATATCTTCTCTCTACACAGAAGTTAAACAAGACAGCTGATATGAATGTGGTTGTGAAGGGGTTGAGAAGGGTTGGAGGAGGTTGGATAAAGTTTACTAAACAGTTGCACAGATCTAACAAGTTCTAGTATTCCTGGCGCAACATGGCTAGAGTTCACAATGACCTATTTGTTCTATATTTTAGAGCTAGCTGCAAGGCTCCAAATATAAAGTAACAATATGAGGAAACATATTCTCTTCATTACTCTGCCTTGATCAGTGCATCTGTATCCCTGTGTTGAAATACCACACTGCATCCCATGAATATGGATAATTGTTGCTAATTAAAATATTTTAAAAGGAAAACTCTAATGAAACCATTTTAATGGTTTGAGCTTGTGTCAGAGGAAGCCAAGAGGAAACTTTTCATTAGGCCAAAGGTTCTTGGCTTGCTTTATTTGACAATTTGTCGCTGATGTTTATTAGTCATTTGGAAATCCGTCTCCACGCAGTGCCAGGAGTCTTCCGTCCTTCCTATGAGCGGCTGCACTTGGACTTACAGCGCTTCTTCCTGCCTGCTGGAAACATGTCCTCTGCACGTGAAGTGTCTGGCCTGCCCTTTCTTCAGTCAGGATTTTAATCCTTTTAAATGGAAGGCACTGTTTGTTGATCCTGTTTAAGCAACAAGCTGTACCTACTTAATGAGTTCTTCATCAATGTTGCTTCACTTTCCAGTTCTGAAATTCGTGCTTCTTTATTATGGTTTCCAGTGCTCTATCCAAGTTCATTTTCTCCCTTGAATTCATTACAGTGTTATTTTTGTCTACCGTTTTAGCTTCACTAACTAGGTTCCTTTGGGTTCTGCCTATCTGTCCCCTTTATTTGGAATACACTAGTGTGTCTTCTTGTAGAAGAAAATGGGGGGGCAGCGTTGCAGCCCATTGGGCTAAGCCGCCACAGGCAACTCCAGCCTTTTAAAATACATGCCACAAATACACTACGAGTCTAAATACGCATATCTAGAGCTACACAGAAGGGAGACACGTGCACTGAGCCGTCTTGACAAAGCATCACTACCGCATCCAGGAGACAGCGTTCATTGTGTTGATTATTCTCGTCTTTGCTATTCTGTACGTTCAAGCTTTCATAACATTTTTAACAAACATATATCACCCTGCTATTTCTGAAAAAGGCAGATACGCTCATAAATATGCATGAACCATCTCCAGAAAGCGGAGCTCTGACCATCCAGATGTGTTATGTGCTGCATCCTTAGACTCACTGTGCTTACAGATGTTGTGCAAAGAGCATTCAGTTCACCTTTACATTTAAAAAACGAAGCTACTGCAGAAAGCTCAGTTATAACTCACGCCCGTGCCCCGCACAGTGCGGCCTGAGCGCCCCGTCGTGCGCGTGGAGACGTGGCGGCCCCTCCTCTCACCTGTGATGAAGGCCTCGCAGCTTGCAGCTCTCGGTGAGCATCATTGTCACCTGCACTTCAGAAGCTTGATCTGGACAGAGAAGAGAAGCCGAGTGACCACACCGCACGCAGGGAACGGACAGCTCGCGCTGCTAGCAAACGCTCCTCGTGGACTAAGGTGGATTTCCACCGCAAGTTACAACTAAATCTAAATAGAGCTAAAGTTCTACTGCACTGACAGATCAAATATCACAGAAACTTCTACGTAAAAACCAGAAATCAGTAAAAGCGAAAGCAACAGCAGATGGGAAACACGGCTCCAACCCGGAGGCATCAAGGACAGCGTCCTTTCCTCCCTTTACGGAACTTACAAACCAGCAAGGGAGAACACAGACGGAGGCTGGCGACAGAAGGAGAGAGAGAAAAGCCCAGCAGAGCAGCAGCACGGCTCTGAGCCTCACTCCACAGACACTGAGGAATCCAGCTACGCCGTTTGGAAATCAAGCAGGGCGGCGGCTCCGCTAAGAGTCTATAGATAAAGATTCATCATCCCCTATATGGACGGGGATTTCAAATTTTTTGCACTAAAACTTCGATTCTTTTACTTCTACAATTTATTTCATTGGAAAGGCAGATTTAACAGAGGAGAAGAAACAGATCTTCCATCCAGTGGTTCACTCCCCAGTGGCTGGAGCTGAGCCAATACAAAGTCAAAGCCAGGAGCCAGGGGCTTCTTCCGGGTCTCCCACAAGGGTGCAGGTCCCAAGGCTTTGGGCCTCCCCAACTGCATTCCCAGGCCACAGGCAGGGAGTGGATGCGAAGTGGAGCAGCTGCGACACAAACCAGCACCCACATAAGAGCCCAGTGCCCGTAAGGCAAGGATTTAGCCACTAAGCCATTGCACCAAACCCATTTTTAACTTCAGCAAATTAGAACTGAAATTGACTTTTAGGTCAATGTTTTGAAAGAACAATTTGGTAACGCAATTTAATAATATCTTCAACCTGCATCAGCAAAAGAATATTTAACTGTCACATAGTCGCAAAAACCCAGGATTCTTCATCCTATACAGATCACTATTTCAATTAAGATTTTTCCACTGTTTGAATAGAACATTCCTATTAAATGGTGCATTTGTGCTGTGAAACTAAAAACGCTTTAAAAAAATTTTTTTTAAAAACCAAAGAAAAATTCGAATACAGTGTACCCTTACAAACATTTTCAAAGGAAGCAGTAAATGGTTTTTAATGGCAACAGTAAAAATACTGAGAATATTTCTAAAGCCTCCGGCTCACGTGATAGGATGGACAGGATTCAGCAGACTGGCACCGCCAGGCTTCCAGCAAGCACTGAGCAGCACAGCCCAACCCGGAGCTGGCACCACGACCAGCACGCTCACTCCCGCGGCAGCAGGGCCGACACAGCTCACATCTAACTGGCTTCCTGTGGTCCCTCTTCCATTACTTGCTAGCACTGTCTCCTTTCAGGATAATTTTTTGTCTTAAAGTTTTTGTTTAAGAGTTCTGTAAGAATGTGCAAAGACATTGAATTACTTGGTACAATTTTTAAAAAGGTGCTCTACACCAGCGTCTGCTTTAATAAATTCTAGTGAATGGCAGAACGTGCCCAAATTCTTCTCTCTATAACTTAACTTATAGTGAAATTGAGACCTACTGGGAGTTGGGAGCGTCATACATATATATGTATATATATATTTGGGGGGTAAAGATTTACTTAAAGAATTAGAGAGGGAGAGAGGGAGAAGGAAAGAGAGCGAGAGAAGTCTTCTATCCATTGGTTCACTTCCCAAATGGCCTCCACGGCTGGAGCAAGAGCAGGCCTAAAGCCAAGAGCCAGGAAGCAGGAGCTTTCTTCTGGGTTTCCCATGTGGGCGCAGGGGGCCAAAGCACCTGGGCCATCTTCCACTGCTTCCTGGGCTCATTACTGGGGGGCCGAGTTGGAAGTGGAGCAGCCAGGACTTGAATCAGCATCCTATGAGATGCCAATGCCACAGGTTGCAGCTTAACTCACCATGGCACAGTGCCAGAGCGGGGAAGCTCTTTTGAGGACTGAAAACCAGTAATATGATGGGGGTCTCCACCCAGGTATTTAAGAGTTAACTCCTCTCTCAACTGGCAAGGAAGGAGACTCAAGTACAACAAAAGGTAATCGCATTGCACCTTTTTATACATGCTTATTTCAAGTGCCCCTTTTTTGTTAACATATATACCTTTTCTGAGACGTTAACTTTGAAAGTATATTCCTATTTGAACTGGATTATACTCTAACAGTCATTTCAAATAGAGAAATAACTGTATACATTTAATAAGAAAAACTCAATTTTCCTGGACTCCTCCCCCGGCCTAGCCTTAGTCTTTCAATTTTCAGCAATGGGAAGCCTATCTTCAAAATGAACACACCTGAGAAAGGCGCTAAACCCAACTCCTTCACGCCCAGGTCACAAAGGAGCACAAATGATGGAGCGGAAACAAGTGCTAATTTCCAAACTCACACCAATTGAGCATTATAAAGAGGACAATAAGAACTTAGTATCAATAACCCTACTGCATTTTATTTATTTTACGGAATTCAATTTCACAATATTTACTGTGTGAGACTCAGGTTTCCAATTTCTCAAATTTCATACTGGAATATCCATTTATTTAGTCTGTGCACAGAATTATTAATTTTAAAGAGCCAAATCTAATTTCCTGCTTATGCCTAAGACAAAGGCCAATGTTCTCTAAAGGACTGAATTTGGAGCCACTGTTGTAATACAGTGGGTTCCTGGTACGCCAATATCCCTTATGGGTACTAGTTCAAATCCCAGCTGCTCCACTTCCCTACAGCTCAGGGATGACCCACACATCTGGGCCACTGCTGCTCACACAGCAGGCCTGCATGGAGCTTGGAGCTCCTGACCACTGCACAGACTGGGGAGTTCAGCTGCAGATGGAAGATCCCCGCTCCCCGCCCTCTAACTCTGCCTTTCAAATAAAAAAACACATTTAAAAAACAAAACAAAACAAAAAAAACCTTGTTTTTTGGCCATTTTATGCAAGCCTCTAAATGTGCAGCATGCAGCAAAGCAGACAGATCTGTGAAAGAACACTTTAAATAGCTTCAACTGAAAAAATACTCCGAAAGAGTGAATTGCAGAGATAATCATGTGCATCCTCTGCGCAGCTGCGCGCGGTACCCTGCTCTCTGCTCATCCTTCCTGCGAAGCATCCTTCACACCAGGTACCCTGCTCTCTGCTCATCCTTCCTGCGAAGCATCCTTCACACCAGGTACCCTGCTCTCTGCTCATCCTTCCTGCGAAGCACAGCCGTATCTGAGGACTCACTCTACTGCTCTTATTTCCACCCAGCTGTGAAAGAACGTCATAATTACAGCCAGCAGTAAGGCAGAGAAACACCAGCCGACTACAATCCAAGTATACACAGGAGAAATGTTATCTTAGGGAACAGTCCCAGTATCCGCATTGTGTTTTCTTATCAATATTATTTCCTTCCCCACCCCTTCCAGCCCTAATCAACCCAATTCTGTCAATTCAAAACTTTCGTCAATTTAAAACTCATTCACAACATATCAGTAATAGCCAAGTTCAGAACAATCCACAGAATGCTTGCAAAGCCCAGAAGAAACAGTGGAACGAACGGGAAATGTTTCGGTAACAACCAGGAGAACAGTGATAAAACAACTGTTTCATTAGGGCCCGGCGCGGTGGCGCAAGTGGTTAAGTCCTCGCCTTGCACGCCCGGGATCCCATAAGGGCGCCGGTTCTAATCCCGGCAGCCCCGCTTCCCTTCCAGCTCCCTGCTTGTGGCCTGGGAAAGCAGTCGAGGACGGCCCAAAGCTTTGGGAACCTGCACCCGCGTGGGAGACCCGGAAGAGGCTCCTGGCTTCGGATCGGCATAGTATCGGCCCGTTGCGCTCACTTGGGGAGTGAATCATCGGATGGAAGATCTTCCTCTCTGTCTCTCCTCTCTGTATATCCGCCTTTCCAATGAAAAAATAATAAAAATAAATCTTTAAAAAAAAAAAAAAAAAAAAAACAACTGTTTCATTAAACTGCTTGTTCAAGGTTCATATTTATAACAACATGTAAACTATCCTTAAAAACTAAAGCGCCTACGGGACCCTAACCTAAGTGTTAGCCTTTACAGTCTGGGGGTGAATAAATACCAAATCAGACAGCAAGTTAATCATTAGTTTTATGATACAGGGTATGTGATTTGAAGCAAGTAACCTTGCTAAACTATAGACAGTGATATTTCAAAAATTTTTCATTAAAAGCCATAACCTAATTCTTCAGAAATACACATAAATTTTTCAGACATTCCATGTATTCTTTAACTTGAAAACTTCGCTTCCTGGCCAGCCCCCTGCTAATGTGCCCAGGAAAGCAGCAGATGGCCCTGGCCACTGGGTCCCCATACCCACGTGGGAGACCAGGTGACGCTCAGGGCTCCTGGCTTTGTCCTAGCCCAGCTCTGGTCACTGAGCCCATTTGGGGAGTGAACCAGCAAATATCTCTTTCAAGTCTGCCTTTCAAATAAAATGATGAAGAAATCTTCTAAAAATTTTACTTCATAAGCTTCGTACGATTCTGCTGCCTATTTACAAAACGAAATGACTTTCCCCTCAACAAAGTACAAAACTTGTTCTTCAGAAATTACTATCTTGTCATTTCAGTGCATATCAGGTATCCACAGTAAGTGTTTATTCCACTCAAAATGAACAAGTCCGAGTTAGGATTGTGGCAGAGCAGGTTAAGCTGCCATCTGCGCCTCTGACTCTGTGCCAGTGAACCTGGGACAGCAGTGGAAGACTCGGCACCAAGCTCAGCATGCGCCGCTCATGGGCGAGCCGAGTGGCGCTCCAGGGTTCCTGGCTTCACACCGGCCCTGGCCAGCTGTGGCCACTTGGGCAGGTAAACCAACAGACACAAGATCTTCTCTCTCTCTTTCAAATAAATAATTGTTTTTTCTTTAAATGAAAGACTTAACTATGAAACAAGAAACAGAGAAAGGATTTAACTAGGAATTATTTAAAATATCACTCCTAAATAATTAAATTTCTATATTATGAAGTCTTGCAAATGTGTTGTTATTGGGGACTAAGCCATGTACAAGTAAAGACAATATTGTAATATTTTGACAGGAATTTTGAGTAAATTTCTATAAATCAATAAATTAAGAATTAGATCTCGTACTTCAAAATGGCTCCAGGGAAGAACATGTACGAACAGACATGTTCATGCATATAAATTAGTGTTATTACTTTGATGAATAATTTGAAAACATCCATAAAGTTTTAAATATACACACCCTTTGGGCCAGCAATTTCAACTACTGCCATGTCTGTAAAATTCTCTCTCTCTCCCTGGACACAGTAAATAATAAAGAGGCATGCAAAAGGTGACCAGTGGCTATCCAATGAAGTGCAGGGAATCATCTTAAAATGGTTTTACCAGTCTTCACTCTCGGGAGGGAAAGCTGCAGGCAGTGTACGAGGGGAGACGGCACTGACAAAGGGCTTTAACTGCGGGAAAGTCAGACATTGGCTGCAGCAACGACGAGGCAGACGTAGCTTGAAGCCTGAGTAATGGCTAACAAATCCTTACTGCCTTCCTTCATCAGACTTCTGTTTTCCGCATCTGTCAGATACATCTCAAATCCCCGATAAAGGCAGTCTTTCGGAGAGAAATTAACCTGGATTTGGGCACACTGAAGATCAGACAGAAACATCCTGGGATGAACCACCTCAGGATGCATGGAAAGAAATCATACCTTTAACTGTTTTTACAAATGCTTCTTTTTCTTTATTTGGATCTTTTTCATCTACTAAAATCCCATGGAAAATACGTCCAAAAGTACCTAAAAGAAAGAATAATAATTAATGAAATTATATAATAACCAAAGTGCACAGCATGCCTAACAAACACAAGGGCGTACAAACAGTATCATCACTCACCGTCAGCCTGGCCTGGCCGTCCCTTGCTCAGCAGTCTGCCCTTCTAGCCCCACTCAACTTGACCCCGCCACGTAAAGCTTCCCTTGTTGTTGAGCCATGAGACAAAACACCTACTGCCCCCTCTTCGCAGTACCTGGGCCCATTTTCAAGTACTTCTAAATATTAATTTATATATAATTAAAAACAAAATCTACAGATGTGGGGAACATATGCAAACGTGCACCTGTGTATATTTATTTATATATATTTATAAGTTCACCACAAGATTATACTAATGCATATTCCTATTAGCAATGTGGAAGAGAGCTTGCTCCTCTTACCCGACCAGCTACTGTAGCACCTAGCCTACTAACTTTCCCTAACTGGACAGATTCAAGATGGCATGCAGCCACTGTTTGATTTGCATTTATCAGAACCGAACCTGACCAGTTTTTGAAAATTTTTATTAGCTACTGTGTTTTCCGAAATCAAATATCATTTCATTCTTACAATTACATATGAAAAATTATGAAAAATCTCTACATATTAACGTATTATATATGAAATATAAAGAAATACAACAATAAAAAAGCTAATTTACGCTTGAAAATACCAGAGAGCAGTCGGTCCAGAGCTCCTCAGCTCCCCACATCACAGCGCAGAGTCTCTCCTTCCGGTCAAGCAGAGACCAGAGTCACTCGCAAACGCACTACTCCTCATCCTTCGTTTACTTACTCCCCTCAGGCCCCAGAACACCTAAACACCAGACGGGCCAGAGCTGCAGCACAGACAGCTAAGCCTCCGCCTGCAGTGCTGGCACCCCATAAGGGCACGGCTTTGAATCCCGGCTGCTCCACTTCCGACCCCACTGCCTGCCAACGCATCTGGGAAGGCAACGGAGCACAGCCCAGGTGCTCGGGCTCCTGCACATGTGGGAGACCCACAAGAAGGCCCTGGCTCCTGGTTTCAGACCAGTTCAGCTCCAGCCACTGTGGCCATTTGGAGACTGAATCGGAGAATGGACGCCCTCTCCATCCGTCTCTCTGTCCTTCTCTCTCTTGCTGTGACTGCCTTTCAAATAAATAAATACATCTTTAAAAAGAGAAAAGTGACAGTCATAACAAGTGACATTCACACTTTAAAAAGCCCCCCATCCCCCAAATCTGCTTCCAGTAACTACCACCTGCCACTGAGGGCAGTCCATCCTGAGGGCAGTCCGCCACTGAGGGCAGTCCGCCTGAGGGCAGTCCATCACTTAGCTGTGACCAACCAAAAGCATCCCGACCAACAGACAGACGCATCTTGAAGGACTTACACGCATCGGAAACATCTAAACGGAATAACAATGGCTTCGAAGAATAACCAGTTAAGAGCTCAATGCAGTACTTAGCTTGCTTTCTTCCTTCAGTACCTCCCTCGTCCCCTAAAATCCAAAACTGGCCCAAAAGGACTAGCAAAAAAGGAAAATCACTAATATTCACCAAATAGTATTATGAATTAGTTTATTTAATGCATATCATCTCATCCAATCTTCATCACTAGTCTGAGAGTTGCCAATATGGTCTAAGTTCACCGCACAGGACACAGAGACCAAAGACAGTAATTCCTCCCAGGTCACACGGGCAACTAGCCATGGGAGACTGGAGTCCAAACCCTGTGCCTGTTCCCTTTGCTAGAAATCCCCCGGTCACCTGTCGGAGAGTGACTCAGGACATCTCGGGGTCCCCCGGTCATCTGTCAAAGAGTGACTCAGGACATCTCGGGGTCCTGCTGGCAGTCATTTGAATTCATAACAAAATAGAAAAACATTAAATGTTATAGGAACTAATTATTTATGCTTTAATCTATTTCAAAATCAAGAATTGCACCAGAGTCTGAGCTTCTTTAACATTTAGAAAAAGAAAATCATTTTAATAAAAGAGATATATGCTTTTTTATCCTCACACACAATGAAATGCTTAAAATCATGTGATTCAAAAATTTTTTCAGAGGGCTACCATTAAACACTACTTCAACAGCTCATGTTCAAGTAACAAGTACCTTCTTGGAGTACATCTCTCAAAGTGACCCTCTCTCTGGACATGGCTATGTCCTTCACCTTGGCTTTGGCTTCCAGAAGAGTGACACTCCTGAGGTCGTTCTTCTCTATCCGCAGCGTGGGGTAACCTGAGGAGCCAACAAAGCCAAGACAAGCAACATAAACACACGAGGCCAACACCCTTGGGATGCTACCAGGGCCAACTGGCGCGGGCAGAACATCAGGACTCACGTCACAGGATGAGCGGATGTGAACACAGCCATCAAGGGAGACTCGGCCCCAAGACACAACCAATTTTAAAGAAAGGCCTTCCCGCCTATCAAACCTTCCAGAATATTAAACTGCAGAACTAAAACAAGGACCCCCACCTTCCAGCCACACAAAACAGGCTTAAGAAATCCGTTTCAGAATTAAGTTAACTCTTACTGGTGATGGGAGTTGCATTGTTGGGTGTGTCAGCTCTCAGGTACTGTGTCGTCTGGGTGGATGGCTGAGACAGGCCTTGGGAACTACTGCTGGCGCTGATGCTGCAATTTCCAAGAGAGAAACACTGTCCAGGTCAGCTTCCCATGCATACAAAACGCACGCAAGTCCCCAGTCATCACAGTGCAGGCTGACCACCACCATGTCCTGAACGGAGTCCCATCTGCTTTCGTGCGGAGCTCTCGGCTTCTCCTGAGTCACCACGCAGCTTCATGTTACCCTAACTACTCAAAGCAGCAGCCATGGGCCAGCCACACTGACATGGTGGGGGACTACGAATCAGCTCGGAAGGACAGTCCAGCCAACTCAGGCTGCTTTTCAGAGAAAGGCCAGCAAGGCCTGTGCGAGCCTACAGATGACCACACCAAGTCAGACGTGGCCATGGGCCCCAGGCTGCACGGGGAAAGAGGATCGGGCCTGGTTTAGACTGCAGGAACATCTCCACCCCGGGAAACCCAGAAGGTGACAGGCTAGTCCTGTGCTCACGGTTCCTACAAACGAATGCTTCTCAAACATGCACTTCCACCTTCTGCGTGGGTCGGATCCCCGTGCCTGGCATGCCATGCACGTCGTCTGCCCACACCAGTCCCTGTGAAGTGATGGTACCAGCGAAGGCGGCATGGAAACCCAGTGTGAAGAGCGACTGCAGGCTCTCAGGCACACACCCAATTCCTGAAATTTACAAATCTTCTCATTGACCCCTCCCACAAAATAGGCCTAAATTTTAGAAATTAGTGATTTCAAAATGCGTAACAGCAAAAGGCTGCTATATGATCTACATTACACATGAAATCACATTTTATCGATTTTAAGAACCCACACATACAACTGAAAATACAAATCTAGAACACAGTATGAATTCTATGCAAGCTTTTTATCACTAGTGATATAATCTGTTATCTGCTAGTAAAACTAAAACATTCTGAAAAGTCACAATAAGATTAATATAGTAATGTCTTGCAATAAACATCTGAAAAGCACTTAGGTGCAAGCCATTCTGTCTAATATATTTGCCTCATAGAGCACCTCTCCAGCAGCCTCTCCATGGGACGCCCAGCATTTCCAGTTGTCTGCTTTTCCTGGGCCTGCCCTCAGCCAACCTGCCCAGCCACCTTGCTGAAGACGCCATGCTTCACTCCACCAGCACACAGCACATGTAGACTCAAGGACCAGGCTAGAAACATGAGCAAAGAGGATTCTCCTCATGAGGAGGAAATGAGGAAATAAAGGACTTTGGTTTAATCATAAACTAGCAATAAGCAATGAACCTTGCAGGAGTTTGTGAGGCTGAGATTGGATGACACACAGAAAGCTCAATTAAATATCAACTGCAGATGACACACAGAAAGCTCAATTAAATATCAACTGCAATTGGCATCGCTGTGGTAGATCCACTAAGTGAACAGCAGGTGGCACTACTGTGCCACCTCAGAATTCCAGAAAAGCTGGGGGTGCACAGTAATTGCTATCTGGTACATCTGAGTTTTCATTTGTTCAGCAGACACGAAGTGGGAAAGGAGGAGCAAGCCATCAGGAAGCAAAGCCTCACACGAAGTGGCGCCCTGAGACTCACCGTTAGAGAAAGGCGAGGAGCAGGGGCTACCTCTGACTCCACCTAAATCCAAATCCACATGGGAACAGGAGAATTACGCTCACACCTATTAGCATATTAGTCTATACAAAACTGATTTTCACATGCAAGATTAGTTCTAGAGATGGTGGGCCTGCTTTAGAAGCTGGGATTCAAGGTCAGTTCCTAAACACCTATTATAATCTGAACTATTTCCTGTACAACTTACTTTTTCATTTGCTCTTTCAACAAGTATTTGTAAAGTGCCATGTCACACCACACACCGTGCTGACTGCTGGGAAATCCAGCAATGAACACAAAGATTCCTACTTTCAGGAAGCCTACACTCCACAGGGTTTTCTCCTTAATGTCGGCCTTACTCCAAGCTCCACAAAGGCCGGAAAGTGTGTGCCCACTCCTCCCTGCCCACACTCGGGCCAGTGCCAAGGAGCGATCGGCAGAGCACACTTCCCTGGCCTGGAAAGGCAGAACGGCTGCTTCTGAGGGGGCAGCTGCTACAGACCGAGGGGTAACGACTACTAGGGTAACAACAGTGTGGTCACCCCATCCATCCTGCTCTGCACATCTGACCGTGTGCCACACGCCGTTAGGAAACAGAGAGGACTTGACCACCAGCAGCGGGAAGAAGGGGAAAACAAAGGCACTAGCAAGCACCAACTTGCAGCACCACACCAAAGGAGAAAGCACTTTCCACAGACAGAGCAGCCGGGGAGACCTGCACGGCAGACGCGCTTTGGGGAAAGCCCCGTGTGGGGGCACGTCAGTGTGACATGAGCAGGGGCACTGTCTCTCCGGGACAGGCACCCCGCAGAAGCAAGGCAAGGCTGGGCAGATCCACTTGCAATGCCTGCACAGGGAAGGCAGTGCACACAGTGCCCACTGCCTGGCAGGACTCCACCAGGAGTACCAGGGACTCTGGCTCCCAAGGGCCCAGAACTGAAGTACTCAGCTACCAGTCCCGCTGCAGGAATCCCAGGGAACACCTGTTCTCACAGGGATGCTGTGACGAGCGATGCAGCTAATTAGCGTGGAACACATGCAGCAGAGTCTGGCCACGGACAGTCCCACAGGAGTGCTTCAGATGAGCACAGCAGTGAGTTGCTACATCCGTCAACAGTCACGGCCACGCTCCTAACCATCCAGGCCTCCACACGCTCTCCAACTGCAGGGAGCTGTTGCTTCCACCTGGGAACACGGGCAGTGATTCCCACGAAAAGTGGCGGAGGGGGCAGAATGAGAAAAACTCCCGGGAAGCGCTGGGTGTAGTAACTGGGAAGCAGAAAGCACGGGCCAGAACGGCGGCCATCGCATCCTCAGGGGCCCTCACACGGAAGGAGACGTGGCCGCCAGGTCCTGAAGGCTACTGGATTGCTAGAGGGAAGCTTCCTGGTCACAACTGTCAGCTTTCGTGGCCTGTAACAAGAAACCCTGACAAGCACTCTGCAGCCTGATGATGGCACCGACTACAGGCAGGACTGGGCTCCAAGCCCCTGACCATCAGTGCATTAAGCCCTAACCACACCTCTCAGGCACCCCGCTCAGATCTATAGATGAGGAAGGCAGACTAGGGATTATCTACCTCTGATTTATGGATGAGGATTAGAGGTGAAGCTCTCTGACCACCCAGACCACAGAGCCAAGAAGGAGAACTACTGGACTGGACCAGGTATGAGTCACATACTCCACACTCCTAACCAAATGGCAATGAAAACACACCAAGATCAAAGTGCCAAAAAACTAGACAATGAGAATGCCAATTAATGAGTGATAATTCATTATTGCAGTAGCAAAGGTGTATGGCCCAAGAAATCTGAAAGTTCTGACACAACTTTGGCCCACATGGATTCAGTCTTAGCACACACACAAGCATTCAAGAACGCAACCACGGGTGCACGTCTGGCTCAGCAGCTCAGACATCACTCGACCTGCCTGCATCCCTGCTTGCATCCAAGTCCTGGCTTCCCTCCCAAGTCCTGCTTGCTACATGCGTACTCACTGGGGAGCGGCAGTGATGGCTCAGCTGGCTGGGCTCCTGCCACCCAACTGGGCAGCCTTGACCGAGTACAGCTCCTGGCTTCAGCCTGGCCCGGGGCTCAGTGCTGTGGTGTTCGGGAAGTGACCAATGGATGGGAGCTCTCGGGCTGACTCCGTCTCATATAAATCATTCTTAATGCAACAGTCCGCATTGCAAAGACTGCTGCAAACATCACGTTTGCCGGGAAGCCCTCTAGTCTGACACAGATCCTGTCCTATCAAAACGCTCCTGTTACCCGTCCGCCCTTCGGGTGCTGCTGTTACCTGCTTTACTGTAACATCTACGACCAATGTCACCAGGTATGCAAACATGTTCTGAAACGCAACAATCCTAGCCCTTTCTGTTCCTTCCGTAGCCGGTAAGGAAAAGCCAATGGTGAAGACAGGCAGCCCTGAGCAACAGAACTGATCCAGCCCGGAGTGAGACACTGCTCTCGAGCTGGGCAGGACTTAGCTCCTACAACGAGGACGAAGACAAGGTCACCAGAAAGTGGTCCTGAAGGAAGCAGTGCCGTAGGAGAGCTGTGCATAAAGGAAAGGGAAGAAAAAGAAGTGAATGGTTGAGGCTTAAAAAGACTTCATGAAAAGATGGTGCTGGATTTGGAAATTGAAGAGCAACAGTTTGAACTGGTAGAAAACACAGAGTTCTGTGGGCAGAAGGAGAGCAGGGCATGAAGCAGGCCTTTGAAAAAGGTTAAGTTCTGAGAACACGAATGCCTTCAGTCAACAGCCAGGACTCAGCGAGGAGGGAAACGAGAGCTCCGTCCCGTGAACAGTCCATCGTTGACTGGTTACGACTTGCTCCCCTCGGCCAGCTCCGACTCGCCGAGGCTGTGACAAGCGCCTCTTGGATTTCCACACTTGCTACACCTCTCACGATCGCCATGTTGACACACTTGCAAGAGTTCCTATCAAAGATGAAACTTCTGATGCCAGGAAGTATATCATTACTTCTGGCATTCCCACTCAGTGAAATACCTAATGCAGTGTATGCCAAGATGACAGTCCGCTAGTTATCCAGGAAGCTCTGAGACACTGCAGCCCACACACCCAGACTGATCACACCGCACCCCGACAGGTGAGGCCCATGAAACACTAACGTGTAACCAGGCCGGAGACAATGTTTTAACCCATAATGGGGACCTGGCATGGCGGCCTAGAGGCTGAAGCCCTCCCTCTACACACACTGGGATCCCATATGGGCACCGGTTCTAATCCTGGCAACCCTGCTTCCCATCCAGCTCCCTGCTTGTGGCCTGGGAAAGCAGTTGAGAATGGCCCAAAGCATTGGGACCCTGCACCCACATGGGAGACCCAGAGGAGGCTCCTAATTCCTGGCGTTGGATCAGCTCAGCTCTGGCCGTTGCAGCCACTTGGGAAGAGAATCACTAGATGGAAGATCTTCCTCTCCGTCTCTCCTCCCCCCTCTGTATATCTGACTTTGCAATGAAAATAAAATTTAAAAAACTCGTAACGGATACACAACAATGTCTGTAAGATGAACTGATGGCTGGATGGACAGAACAGCGCAGTGTCAGTGTTATGGCACAGCAAGCTCGGATGCTGCCTGCCGCACCAGCAGCTGATAAGGCTGCTACTCTACGGGTGCTGCTCCACTTCTGATCCAGTTTTCTGCTATTGTACCTGGGATGTAGCACAAGACCGCCCAGGTGCTTGGACTCCCCATCCATGTGGGAAATGCGGATGACACTGGCTCAAGACTGCTGCTTCAGCCTGGCCCAGCCCCAGCCTTGGCAGCCATTTGGGGAGTGAACTGGTGGATAAAGTCTCTCTCTCTCTCTGTCTCTCCCCCATCTCTCTGTAATTTTGTCTTTCACGTTAGTAACAAGTCTTTTTTAAAAGAAGCAATAGGAGTACAGAACAGGGTGCAAAAATGTCAAATGCAAAAAATACACCTGATTCCTACTTCTTCCTCAGCAACTAATAAGTGGTTATTTCTGACTTCACAAATAAAATAGAATCAGAGAACTCGAAGCCATGTGTAGGACACCGTACTCTGCCTGGAGCCGGTTCAATCCTCCCTCCTCCCCCTGCACTGTGTGCAGGAACTGACACATGTGCAAATAACAGCTCTGAATTTTATCTGGTTCCAAAATATGTACAATACCTGTCATCCAATTCAATCCTCTTCATACTATGAAGGTGCAAAACAGCCAATATTATTGCTACAAGAAATATCACTGCGCAGCAAACCCCTACACTGATATAAAACACGCGTGTAGAGGTGGTGGGGGCTGCGTGTACAGGATCATCTGAAACAAAACAAAAGGCACAGTGAGCTTTTTAAACAAACACCACTGCTCGCTTAGTGACCCCTCTGCACAGCGAATAACAAGATGCCTGTTCCGCAGTCACTCTTCAGTAAGATCGCTGCCTGGAGCTCACACAATTTCTCACCGTTTTTGCTGTAGTTTTGAACAGGCCTTCTGGACAACACGATGACCGCTGTGCACAAGTGGGATGCACAGACCACACCATCGCAATGCCATCCGGCAGGCATCACCACGGCACAGGGAACGCTCTCGGGGTGCCGCCCAAAGCAGTGCCCATGGGCAATGGGCACTGAAATGCGGCCAGGGTAACCGAGGAACCGGGACTTCAGCTGGATCTGATTTTAACTTAAAAAGCCCCACGTGGTGCAGCAGTGACCGTCCTGCGAACACAGGCTTCGGATGGCTCCTGTCCCAGTGAGGCAGGCTGGAGCTATCAGGGACCACCGGCTCAGGGCAAAGCAATGAAAGGAGGCGCCAGTGACAAACCGTTCATCTTTTTCTTTCTTTTGAGAGTAACAATTACATCCCTTTACCTGTTTTTAAAGATTTCATTAAGTAAAATGATATTCAGCTTTACATTTTTTTAAGAGAAACAGAAAGCAAGACTATATGGTGAACAACTCAGTGACACAGACTTACAGTCACCAACCGAGAACGGACAGATACTGTCTATGTGATACGAGCAAGGAGAAGCGACGTGACTGGACAATTGTGAGCTTTGACAATGAGAGAATCACAGTTCTACTGAATAAAAACTGAGGAATCTAGGGGGTTATCCTAAATGACGTAGAAAAGCACTGCAAGAAATGACAAACATAGCTTCGATTTTTAAAAAAATTACACAGTGGGTTAAGCAGCCCTGCAATGCTGGCAGCCCTCGTGGGCACCGGCTGGAGTGCCAGTTGCTTCACTTCTGCTCCAACTCCCTGATAATGTACCTGAGAAAGCCCCAGGACCCACGAGGGAGACCTAGACGAAGCTCCTGGCTCCTGGTTTCAGCCTGGCAGCCCTGGCCATTGCAGCCACTGGATACTGAATCAGTAGATGGAAGATCTCTTTCCCTCTGTAACTCTAACAAATAAACATATCTTTAAAATAAATACATAAAAATCTACAGTAAGCTTATGCAAGGATTTAGGAGACCCATGACTGTACGCTGCGTGGAGAAGGCTGTGGGGGAGCAGGAACAGAAGGGTAACGAGTTAGACCCCGGTGCGAGGGGGAGGGTCCCAGGGCAGCTGAGGAGTCAGTGCAGCTGAGCGGTGAACAAGCCTCGTGAACGAGCTGCACTCACGCAAAAGGAACAGCACGAATCAACACGCTGGCTTTGAGAACCAATAGGGCGTGCTTTGTTTTTAGTTAAATTCAGAATACCTAGAACAAAATCCTACGGAGATGTAAAATTGACAGATATATAATCTTGAGTTCTGAGGATAAGTCAGGATAACAGATATAAGTTGTATCGTTCAAAACATGGAAACAAGACTGCTTTCTAAAATTAAAGTTTGAATCAACAAACAATAAATCGTAACAAATCAAGCCAAAAAGACCAAATGCCCTCTGGGGTACGTGGGGTGGGCTGCAGCCTAATGAAGGCTGACTTCCTCAAGGAGACTGCACGCCATCTCCCGCAGAACGGGCAGCAAGCAGCCCACAGCACACGCGGCAGTGCCGCCCACGCGCTGATGCAGGATGCCACACACGCCACTGCCCCACAGCACCGGCGGCCACACCTGTGCACGCTCAACTCCTCTCCTCTCCACGACACCGACCCACGGGTGTCACGAGAGATGTCCCTTTCCTCGGGAAGCTGTTGTTCACCACCGTGGCTGAGGTCACGTGTCCCCGTCAGGTTCCCGCAGCCCATGTGCCTCTATCACTGCCCACTGTCCTGGCCATCTCCCAGCCACAGCGGAGAGCACCGAGGGCAAGGGTTCTCTACCCTGACCAGCCACCCGGTCCGCCAGGGAGCGTCCATAAATGCTGGTGGCTAGCTCAACAGGAAAGAAGAGCAGTACAAAGGAGCAAGGAAGGGACCGAGACCAAAACTTGCAACAGCTCTCTTACGAAAAATAAGCACCTGCTGGACTTTAAAGACATGGCCTCATCAGCAGAGCTGTCGAAGTAACCTTCACAGCAGTAACATCTTTAAAACATTTTCCTTATCAGATATTTAAGTAAAATACCAGTAGGCATCATTTTGTATTATTTCACCTTCAAAAAAGATCTGCTATGTAGTTTTCCTTAAAACTAAGAGATTTATCTGCTTTCACTGGAAAGGAGGATTTACAGAGAGGAAGAGAGGAAGAGAAAGATCTTTCAGCCCCTAGCTCACTTCCCAAATGGCCACAATGGCCAGAACCAAGCTGAGCCGATCCAAACCAGGAGCCGGAGGCTTCTCCTGGGCCTCCCACCAGGAGCAGGGTCTCCAGGCTTCGGGCCAGCTTCCTTTACTTTGCCACGCCACAAGCAGGAGCTGGATGGGAAGCAGAGCTGCCGGGATTAGAACTGGTGCCCATATGGGATGCTGGCTCTTGAAGGTGGAGGATTAGTCAGTTGCCCCATCACGCCAGCCCTGCACGTGTAGTTTTCACAGCACAAAACCACAGAATACATGTGGAGACTATTAGATTAATTTGAACGTGGATTAGCTATTAAAAGATATTAAGAAGTTAATTTTGTTATATGTGATAAATCTGAGTAATTGTTGGGTGGCTGGTGTTTTTGTTTTTTGCTTTTTCAAGACATTCGCTCAGGGGCTGGCCTGTGGCAAACTAGGTACACCTGCCGTTCGCAATGCCAACACCCCATAGGGGCACAAGTTCAAGTCCAGGCTACTCCATCTGTGATTCAACCCCCTGCTAATGTGTATGGGAAAGCATCAGAGGACGACCCAAGGATTTGGGACCCTGGAAGAAACTCCTGGCTCCTGGTTCCAGAACAGCCCAATTCTAGCCCTTGCAGCCAGTTGAGAAATAAACCAGAAGATCAAGATCCATTGTGCCTTTCCAATGAACAATTTTAAAAAGATTCACACAGAGACACTTCTGGATCAAACAGCATGATGCCTCGGATGTGCTTTAAAATGCTCTGCTCCCTAACCATCCAGAATGTTCTTCGATGCAAGACCATGGGCGAAACGCTCATCACCCTGAAGCTGGGTAACTGGCACAGGGATTCATCAAAACACATTCTCAGGTTGAGTATACTCAAAATGCTCCAAAAAAACACCTGAAACATTGACTTCCATGAAGAGAATTATTCATTTATGGTAACTGCTATTGCTATTAACAACTATATCAGGAAAATAAGATCTACTATGTGTTCATGCAAAAAAAAAAAAAAAAAAAAGGCCTGCTCTAGGAGCTACTCATAAGTCAGTACACGCTCCCCACGACCTCCGTGCGCGTCGGCACTGCTGCTGTGACGCAGCCGGTGAGCTTGCATTCTCACCTGGCTGGGGCCGAGACACAAGTCCGATTTTTTTTTTTTTAAGATTTATTTTTTTTTATTGGAAAGGCGGATATACAGAGAGGAGAGAGAGGAAGATCTTCCGTCTGATGATTCACTCCCCAAGTGAGCGCAACGGGCCGATGCTATGCTGATCCGAAGCCAGGAGCCTCTTCCGGGTCTCCCACGCGGGTGCAGGGTCCCAAAGCCAGGGCCGTCCTCGACTGCTTTCCCGGGCCACAGGCAGGGAGCTGAAAGGGAAGCGGGGCTGCCGGGATAGAACCGGCGCCCATATGGGATCCCGGGTGTGCAAGGCGAGGACCTTAACCACTGCGCCACCGCGCCGGGCCCACAAGTCAGATTTTTTAAGCCTGGGCTAATGAAGATCTTACACATATTTCATGTTCACACTTTAATTAGAATACATTGAAAAGACATAAAACAGATTCTGGCCTGCAAAAGCTTTTTTAGCTTTTTCAGATATATTATGAATACACTTCTCAAACTACTCAATATTCTGGCAGTTTCCTTTGATCCATACAACAATCTAGAAAACATCAACAAAACACCGCATACCATTGTTATCACTCAACACAATGGAACCTCTAAGCTTTGTGAAAATCATGTTTATATTCAATTAACCATTTTTATCCCTAATAAAGTTAATATAGCAACACTTACAAATAGTTCTGCTAGTGTTTTTGTCCAAGGCTGAAGTTTTTACTTCTTCAAGTTCTAAATTAAGAGAGAGAAAAAATTATTTAGGGATCCTTTCTCTTTCATAAAAATCCTTAAGTACTCTAAGTTGCATGAATTCTTCCTCTAATGTAATTCTGGGTTCTATCAGAAGACTGCTTGAGCTAAGTAACAAGGCTGTTTGTTCAAAGATGGTCCCCTCGATCATCACGCAGCAGTCCAGCCAGCACTAACCAAAGGCGACCAGCTGCTCAACAGTACAGGGTTTCTGGGACCGAGAAGTCCGTGTGCACTAGAGGCTCACAGCGCACATTCACAGAGCGTAATGACCCCAGCGGCTGTGGACCGGCCCAACCTGCCCGCACCACAAGTCACAGCCTCCGGCCACAGGGACCTTTTCTTGCCAGTAACACTCCATAATCCAATCTCCTTATGTCAGGTTTAAACCGCCTAAGTTGGATTGCAGAAACTTTAAATTCACCTTTGATTTTAACATTAAACAAAAGTAGGTAAATAACCAAATATATTAAAACTGAAAAATGTATCTGAACACAAAAACCAAAAGGCACTAACCCACTATTATTAAAATGTATGTTCTAATGCAGTGTAGCTTTTTAAATTAGCATGTATCTGCACAGGAGTCAAGCTCCTCCCCTTGCTGGCTTCAGGCAGGCTGCCACCTTAACGAGGACACTGCGCATGCAGGTGCATCTCAGCTGTGCTATGCGCGTGCGGGTGCATCTCAGCTGTGCTATTGGGCTCCCTGGCCTCACAGGTCAGCCAGCTCAGAACCTCAGCTTCCTCCTCTTCCGAAAACGGGGACAATACATGAACGAGGCACCCAAGGCTGCTGGGGGAACTAAATGGGATGATTGCGTGTAAAATATTTAGACCACAGTAAATATTCAGTACGTACAGCAATTTTTTTAATTTGTGGCTTTTTAAAAATCACTTTAGATACTAACCAATTCTACCTATGCAACCTGAATTTGTGTAACTTAAACAGAACGACAAAATCATTTTATCCAGGACCCTGCACGCTGGAACTCATTCACACATACCATCATTTCCTGGGTGATAACAGATTCCAAAATGAAACATGACTAGCATTTATGAAGTACCCACATATGATATTCTATGTTATAGCTTGATTTAATTATTCTTTAGAAAATAGAAACAAACAAAAAAAAAACCTTATGAAACCCATATTGTGCCATTTTACCCATATTGTGTAATTTGCCCCAATGAAAGAGCAGAGCTACCATCCGAGCCCAGGCGTCTCTGACCCCAGAGCAATGCTCTCACACGAAAGCAAACTCACAAAGAACACACAGCTGCATGCAGTCACCCCGTCACCCACACGCACAGCTGCGTGCAGTCACCCCGACTCCCACACGCACAGCCGCGTGCAGTCACCCCGTCTCCCACATACAGCCGCGTGCAGTCACCCCGTCTCCCACCAGATCCTGGATCTCTACCTCTCAGTTCCAGCTATCCCAGCTCACTTCCCTAATGGAAAACATGGCAGCAGTTCCAACAGGATTTCTAGGAAGCAGGGACTGAGAGAGGCCCGCATGAGATGTGCTTTCTCTTCTCACTTGCAACCACAGTCAAGACATGCTCATAATCAAATGTGTAAGCCAAAATTGACTTCTGACCTCACACATCTATGTAAAACACATTTTGATAAATAAATTTCTTACTTTTGTAGCACATTTTCCTTCGTTTAAAATTTAAGACTGTGAAGTTTTTTGAGGCATTTACTGTCAAGTTGAGTTGCATTAAAATCATAACTTCAGAATCTACTTTGCCAGTGCAGGAAAGCTCGACCCGAAACACTTAAAAAAAGAAAAGAAAAAATGTTTAATTTTCTAAAAACAAACATTAATGCTCTAAATGGATCTAATGAACAATTCAGAATTACTGTGATGCAATACAATTTAAAGTAATTAAAAAAACTAATTAGAAGCTTTCAGATAACTTACTTTCAGACCTGCATAGTTCTAGACATCAGGTATCTCATGCGTTAAGGATACTTTTAAAAAGAGAGCATTAAAGAACAAGCCAAGACACACATGAAGAGATGATTTTTAACAGATAACTGACTCCTAAGTCCTACCCTACCGATACAGTAGACAACATTCTAAGGCTCACTCTGCTGACCCCTGCCTGTGCTACCAGGAACAGCAAACAACAAAAGTCACACAGCACAAAGGCAACTCACGATGAAAAAGTAAATATAAACAGATAAACAAATCTGACCAGTTCTCTAAACATTCAATGAGTAACTAGCATCAGGTAACACACTCCAATGCTGCCTTCCTTTAAAAATAACTTGCAGATCCTTTTTCTGTAATTTAGAACAAATCCTTCTACCAAAAAGCATATCAAGATATGGACATTTCCAAAATTTTCCAGTGATCTCTAAGAACGAATCTCCCTTTCTACATTTCTGAAAGCTTAAATTAATGAGTATCACTAATAACATGAATAAGACCGCCAGGAGAAGTCTGATAACACTGCTGTGGCTCGTGACTTCAATTGAACAATATTTCTGTTTCCTTAAGCTCTCATAGTTCAAGTGTTAAGTTGGCTCAAACAAGATAGTTAAAGGAGATAGTTCATTTACTCATAAATGTACACAGCGCCTATGCAGTGTCCAGATGCTCTGCTACGCAACAAAATGACAGGATGAAATAATCAATTCAAAACAAATGCAGCAGGAAGAACAGAAGAGAAGGAGAGAAGGATGCAGGGAAATGGCAGTACGAATTGTGAGTCTTATAGAGCAAAATGAACAGGATTTTAGAAAAGTAGATGGATTCACATACAGCAGCCAGCACATTCAAGGGGGCGGACATGGGAAATGCTAGAATGCGGGGACAAGCAGGTGCAGCAAAAATGCTGAACGGGCGGGTGGGGCTGGGAGGTTCAGGTACTCGGCTGATGGGACTGGGAGCCCTGATGACATCCTGCGGTCAACAGACGAGTACGCGGTGATGATCCAGGCCACACTGTGGGAAGCTGGACATCACCGAGGGAGGACAAGCCTCAAGAGGGGCCTGGGACTGAAGGCAGTGCCAGCAACGCACACAAGGACATAAAGGGAAGAGCTGAGACACACATTGCTAGAAGAACAGTAAAGAGAAAATGATTTAACACTGGGGCAGATAAACAATGTTTTTCAAACCTGCTTTTACTTATACCTATCAAGGAAGACACTACACATCAACCAACCAAACCTTCTTTTTGGAATATGGGAACACAGTTGCAAACAGTGTTGAACTGTCTGAGGACTCTTACTCACCTGACAAAGTACGTGGAACTTCCCCCTGAACAGAAATGTTGACCTGGGGCATGTCCATAGCCACATAATTGTCTACTTGGAATCCCAGCTTATATTCAACCTGTAAAATGGAAAGAAATAAAATTGTATCCATAATAACACAAAGGGCTGAAGAATACTAACCACTTCATTAACCGTTCATTAACTAATCAGTGTCCCAGCCTCTTTTTAACCAACAGGTATTTGCCTTTCTATTATTTTTTTGAAGATTTATTTATTTTTATTTGAAAGGCATATTTACAGACAGATCTTTCATCTACTAGTTCATATCCTCAAGTGGCCATAACAGCCAGAGTTGGCTGATGATAAACCAGGAGCCAAGAGTTTCCAGGTCTCCCACATGGGTGCAAGGGCCCAAGGACTGGAGCCGTTCTCCACTGCTCTCCCAGGTCACAAGCAGGGAGCTGGATACAAAGTGGGGCAGGTGACACATGAACCAGTGCCCAAACAAGTCGCCGGCACCACAGGTGACAAGCCGCGCATGAGTCTTGTGTAGGTGCACAGTCTAGTTATAAAAACACCCAAGTTGTCAAAAACAGTCCCAGGAATTTTCAATTTCATAAAAATTCAACCCAGTGGGGCTGGTGTTGTGGCAAAGCAGGTAAAGCCAGTGTCTGCAATTCCAGCATCCCATGGGGACAGCAGTTCAAGTCCTGGATGCTCTGCTTCTGATCCAGCCCCCTACTAACGGCCTGGAGAAAACAACAGAGGAGGATCCAAGCACTTGGACCCCTACCACCCACAGGGGAGACCCAGAAGCAGCTCCAGGCTCCTGGCTTCAGCCTGGCCTAGGGGAGTTGAGACAGAACCAGCAGCTCATTACTTGTCCCTGACGACCCTTCTGACTGACGCAAGCCAGTGCTGAGGTCCACAACACGGCTGGTGGCTGACAGATCAAGGTGTGCTGTGCGGACCCATCTTCCTAACAAGCAGCTCTCTACAGAACTTCTAAGCCACACAATGTCTGGCCTGCTCAGTGTGGCTTGACAGATCCAAGCAGCACCAAGAACCACAGCCCTACTCTAAGGCAGCAGCCGCCGCTCCTTCTGTAAGGCTGAAATCCACGACAGCTGCCACCTGCCATGGCGGCTCCACCTCCAACGAAGCCTTCCACATCACATCACTCCCCAACCTGCACACCTTGGTAAATATGGCACCCCTCTCCCATTCAGTGGTCACAGAGCAGCTTTTAAAGAGTTAAGATGGACAGAGCCATGGCATGGTGGGTTGGGAAAAGACTGGGGAATAGGGGAAGTTCACTCTTTAGGAAGATTAACTAGCAAAAACAGGATGCAGGGGATTGTCAAAGATTTCTTTTTAAAATAAGATATACATGTTTCTGTATTAATAACCAAAAAAAAAAAAAAAAGGAATGAAATGGCAAATAATAAAGAGGGAAAAAGTACCATCTCAGACTGTAAGGAAGGGACCGCCAATAGGCCTCAACTAAGGCAGAGGTGCTGTTACACTGACAATGAGCAGAGCTCAACCCAACATGCGCTTGGGCTCTCTATACTCCAACGTCCTAAAACACTCGTGGTGTGCCAACATTAAACTTCTCCTTTCCATCAACAACCGTGGAAGGTTAGATTGTCAAGCGCATGTTCCTAGCAAAGGAAGTGGTTTTGCTGCAGCACAGTAGGGGTTTAGCAGTACCTTACCTAGGTGGTGTTTTAGCACATCACAACACTACTGCCCCTGCAGGTGCCACAGGGCTACAGCCAAGCAGCAGGAGTTGGAAATGAGCTGGCTTTCCAGCAACCCAGCCTCCAGAATACTTGGTTCTCTCTCTCCACCCAGGCTGCATCTGAACAGGACAACAGCTGGAGGCAGGGACATTAGGAAGTCAGCACAGTTAGTAACCCTGGACATGGAACTGTGACATCATATGGTCCTCAGGTAAAGTAGACATTTTTCTGAGTTTCAGTTTTTATAAAATGAGGATAATACAACATGCTATGACTGAACAGGATAATTAATGCAATGCAGCTGTTGGTGAGGCGAGGCATCCCTCAGAAACCCAGACCGCATCAGCAACATACATGGGAATGCTCTTCTCCAGGCATCAGCCTACTGCTGGGGCCCAGACACTGACAGACCCTCCTGCGCTTTGTCAAGGCACCTCTGGGCCCGGCATGGCAGCAGCTCATGTATGCAGAAAAACAGCAGCAGACCCAAATACCTGGGGCCCTGGCACCTCCATGAGACACCCAGAGGGAGCTGAGGATACTGGCTTTGGCCTGGTCCTGTCCTATGGGAAGTAAACCAGCAGATGGAACATGGATCAATCAATCTCTCTCTCTCTCTCCCCCACAGTATTGCCTTCCAAATTAACACATAAATCTTTTTTAAAAAGAAAGCAAAAATACTGCACGGTAGAAAGGCCAAGGTTCTTAAATGCAGCACAGAGGACTTGGGGACAAGACAGGCACACGTGCCTCCGTGTGGCGAGGAGAGTGGCAGGGCTGCCTGGAGGTGTGACAAAGCAGCCCCCTGGCCACAGCAGCAGCCTGGAGATGGACAAGGACGAAAGCGGGGAAGCCTGCTCTCTGGGCAACTGTGTCAACACAGGACACATTCCCAAGGCAGTTCTCTTTGCCCTTTGGAGTCTGTATGATGCAAATTTCAAAACTAGGATCAGAGAAGAAACTGCCCATGATTGAAGTCCAATGTTCTCTACTTTGGCATGGTTTAATCCATAAGGAATTTTATTTGCCAATCATTTTTTGAAGAAACTGAAGTGTTCAAAAGCTAAATTTATAATGTACTGTGAAAAAGGAACTCAAGCCACAGCTGTTTATCAGAAAAAGGAATAAGCCAGCATAATTCCAGAAAATACAAACATCTGAACAAGCTAAAAAATAAACATGTTTTGTAAGCTTCCCTTACTTGGAACCAAACAGCAATTGCAAATGGGCAGCTGATGAGTAAAGACATTTCTTTCTGGAACACAGACAGAACACATTTAAAGTGAATACACTTGCGTACAGCCAAATAGCCTTTTAATTCCTCTGAAATTATTGGAAGACCTGCCTTTCTCATAGCAAGGTCAGTCCACAAGGACACAGGAGGCTGGCCCCAGGGCCACTGCAGGAAGAAACCCTGGCAAGCTGCCTGCAGATCATCTTGACACTGATGAAGAATTCCTGAAACCAGAGAAGAGCCAGGCCATGAGGGCTGCCAGAGGGGCATTCTGCTACATTCCAGCACATCTTTGCCTTTCAGCTACCTAATTGTAACCTTAACCCCTAACCCATAACCCGTAACCCCTAGCCCATGGTCTTAACCTTAACCCTTAACCCTAACCCTAAAATAATTACTGACACTTTAACATACAGTTGAATTTTTCTCCTTGGATGGCAGGAAATTTCTGGAAATATAGAAGAAACTAATTCTCTGTTAAAGTCACTCAGTAGTCTGCTTTTTCATCTGCGTGGCCTTGTGGAAGAGAGCCAGCACCAGAGACCTCCCTTCCCGAAGTGCCATCAGCACCATGGCCTCCTCAACCTCTCACTAGACGTGCACCAGACTAATCAAAGTAAGACATAGCTCCAGCCTTGGAGGGGCTGCCATCTGCTCAGCAAGACAAAACAGAGCCCTGTGGTCGGCACCAGGCACAGAGCACACCCTGGATGCCCTGTGAGCCGTGTGGCTATGAGGAGGGAGACAGAAAGGATAATCAACTATCGCAACAGCTTGAGAATTCAACTGGGATCGTGGGAGAGGAGCAAAGGGCACCTGACACGCTGGAGGACAGGTGACAGCTGGACGCTGCTAGAGAACCAGAGATAATCGGGCAAAGAACTGGAAAAGGACCTCTCCAACAGGGCAAATAGCAGCAGGGCAATGAGACATTGAAGCAACCGCAGACAGACAACATGGTGCCAACAAAATGGCTGGGAGGAGGCAGAGGAGAGGTGGGGAGGCAGTCACAACATCTCCTGAGACATCAGAACTTCATTCCAAGGGCGACAGAGACGCGGGCTGGCTTTACACAGGCCAGAGGCTAAGAGATCAGAGAGAAGGCCGTGCCTAGCCTAGGAGAACCAATGAAAGCCCAAACGAAACACGAGGCTCTGGGTCCCACAGGGACGTGACATGAACTGAAGGTGTAATTATAAGGGAACCAGCTGGACTTGCAAGGTGAACGAGGAAGAGACTGGGATCTCTTTCAGGCTTCCGGCTTGGACATATGAGTAAATGGAGACATCCTGCTACAGTCAGGAAACGTCTCCCTTCCCAGAGCTGTCACAGCAGCGAGAGCAGCCACGACACACACTAGTGACTGTAAGCTGACATCAGTCCGAGTCCCGAAGTTACAGTCTCCCAGATCATGGTAACGACACAGAGGAGCTCAGAGCTGCATCCTGGGGCCCTCCTCCTGGGCCCCAATGTACTGTCAAGCACGCTTGCCTTTCAAATACACACATGCCCACCTAGCCTCTCTCTCTCTCTGTCCCAGGAGAAAACTTACACTTGAGGAACCTACCCATTCAGCGGAAACACAAAGAACTGGGTACAGGTCAGCCAGGCAAGAGCTTTCCAAAGCATGTGGGCGTTGGCTCCCACAAAGCAGTGATGGGAACCCCGGGCGGCGGATTCCCTTGCACCTTTTACCACCGATGGGAGAACTGCAGCTCTTCAAGACAGACCTCACTGAGGAGCTCAACCCCACCTCGAAGCCTTCACCCTCCCAGCCTTCATCATCAAAACTGTCCTCCTTCCCAGCTAGAGCTCAAGCCCTGTTTACCCGCAAGAAGGCATTCTGTCAAGTGCTAACGAACCAGATGCAGACCATATCCATTTTAAAGAATGTCAGGAATTTTAGAGGAGTGGGCCCAAGATAAAACAAACAAACAAACAAACAGAAAAGCACAACCTGAGAAAACCCAGTATGGTTTCAGCATACCACCCTGGGAGCCTCTGTTCAAGAGATTCCTGAAGCACAGCCCTCACCTCGGGCCTGGGGGACCCTGGCCGGACAGCTGTGGGGAGCCACTCTCTTACCTTGGACTTGGCATGCCAGGTGAAGTGCAAGAACTTTGTCTCACTGGGCACTAACAGGTTAAAGGACAGGGCATAGTGACTAATAAGGTCGTTTCTCACATAATACAGTTCTGCATCAAGACCTAGGAAAAAATGAAAAAAACAAATTAAACATCCAAAATACCTTCAAAATCATACCCATCATTATTTCTAATAACAGAGTGGAGATAACAGTCATATAACTGTATGCTAAAAATGGCCCTCACGTGTGTTGCTTTATGAAGTAAGAAGAATAATGGATTTTATCATCACCAAAGCAATCAAGCTATTCTCTGGCTAGAAACATGTGCACCAGAAACACAGCTCTACCAGCCGCTCCGACTGTGGCCAGTGTGGTCCTTCCATCTGGGTACAGTACCTGCACACACTCCCCTCAAAAGAACAGCTGTGGGAGCAAGAAAGATGCCCAAGTTAAAACACAAGTGTGAGCCAACACCTCCAGACCCCATCCTGAGGCCATCGCAGCATTGCAGCCTTCTGCCAGCAGTGGCACTCACACCAGGCCCTGTCCTGGTCCCTTCTGCCAGCATTCCGTGTGGCACTCACACCAGGCCCCGTCCTGGTCCCTGCCCAGACTACGGGTAGACTAACTTCAGTTCTCATCACATCCGCAGGATGGAGCCCTCTACCCAAAGCAGATAACTATTAGATGAAACAGAAGTCACTAACAAGCCAGAAAGTGTTGAAGTAACTGCCAAAGTTCACTTATTCCTATGCCACCTTCTTCATCAGGATCACATCCAACCTCCAAAACACATTCCCTTCTTCAATTCCTTCGTTCTGCACGTACTTAACATTTTTTTAAGACTTATTTCACTTTCATTGGAAAGGCAGATTTACAAACAGATCTTCCACCCACTGGTTCACTCCCCAAGTGGCCGCAACAGACAGAGCAGAGCAGATACAGAGACAGCAACCAGGAGCCTCTTCTGGGTCTCCTCGGCAGTTGCAGGTACCAAAGCATTGAGCTGTCCTCCACTGCTTTCCCAGGTCACAAGACGGGAGCTGGAAGAAACAGAAGGGGAACAGCTACGAAACGAGCCGAGGCCCATATGGGATCCCAGCACTTGAAGGAAGGGGAGGATTAGCCAATTGAACCATTGCACCAGGTTCTAATATTTTTTCTTGAACAGTGATTCAGGGACAGATATTTGGTGCAGCATCTAAGAAGCCACATGGTCACCGATATGCCAGAGGACAAGAGGCACAAAGTAATGTTGGTCATGAAAGATACTTTCTCAGGATGAGCTGAAGCATCTGTGTATAAGAGTGTAAAGGCATAGAAAGTAACAGACATTATTGCACACACTGGGGCCCCATGTTCAACACACAGGAACTACGGCCCAACCTTTACATCACAAGTGACTCGGACTCCAACTCGGGCGCTGGGCACAAATGAATGTCAAGCTGCATTGTGCACGGCATGTGATCAGAATGTGCAACACCCCTGGAAAGCTAGCTCTTTCTCCCTTCGGGAAGTTTCATGGGTGACCATTCCTCACCAAGGACAGATTTAGACCAAGAAACTCAGTGGATGGCTGACTATGTTACTCAACAAGTCCTGAATGAACTACATGAAAAGCTCTCTCAGAAGCCCTTATTCACTCCAGCAGACTGGGCCCTAGGAACATCTTTAGAGAAACAAATCTGTCTGGCGGGACCCTTTCCTGTCATCGCTACACCTGCTGCCATTAAACTAACCTGGGAGTGACTCCTGCCAATCCGCCGGATTCATCCACAATTAGGACACCTGCTGAAGACACTCTCAACCCGATTCTCCCGAACCAACTCACATCTGTGAACCACTGACGGCTTTAAAGCTGCTTTTCAAAGAGGCACCTGGCAGACAAGTATCTTCTATCTGGGTCACGTCTTGTCACCCAGTACCATCATTGGCTTTTCATCTTTACAAGGCTAACGATCAAAATGTTGGCGTCACGGGCAGGACCTTGTATTCTTAATCATCTTGTGTTTTCTGTTTCCCAGTGATTAGGAGTCTTCAAACTCGATAGGGCTCTTAACAAGAAACCTTGTATGCCGACCAACTTCCACACAGCAACATGGGTGACTAGATCCTGGCTCGGCAGACACGTCTCAAGGCATTGCTTTAAACAGAAGTCGCATGTGGGATTCCAAGAAGGGGTCTGAAACTGTGCAATCCCACTAAAATCTTGGCCACACCTTCAAGTGAGTGACACAAGAATTGCCCAGCCATTTCCTAACTGGTTGACGACCCACCAATGAGGAACAAGACCCCACAGGTTCCCGCCCAGACAAGGAGGGGTCAGGGAATACTTAAAATCCGAAGACCCTTCCTCAAATCTTTGGTGTCTCCCCCACTCTCCTTCCAAAAGGCACTCCACCTCCCAGCCCTCTCCCAGAAGGCTCTCTCCCTTTCCCTGTTTCCATGGTCTCCTGATCACTTCAAATAACACTTCCCTTCCTTGTCTACAACCAAAGGAGGGGGGAAGGAGCCAGCTGGAATCTTGCAGCCCACGTCAGAGGACCTGGGTTTCAATCAGATCAATCCCCTCTCCCGGCTAATGTACACCCAAGGTGGCAGCTGAAGGAACAGGTGCTCGGGTCACTGTATTGCCATTACACACCTGGACTGAGTTCCAACTTCAGTCTGGTCATGTCTGTAGTTCTATCACCACTTTCAAATAAATAATTTCTTAAAATAAACATTAAACTAATCCAATCAAGAATATTAAAGAAAAATCTTAGTCACTACCATAAGTAGAAAAATGAACAATTATTCTGGGAAAAATACAAAGTAGCCAAGACCAATTAAAGGAAAAACAAAATAATAGTATATTCTAAGGCCTACCAGAGCAGTGGACTAAAACCCCACTCATAACAGACAAAAGAGGAGAGTGTTGCCAGATGTTCCAGCAAGGTAAAGAATCACGGGCTCTTCTCCAGGATAAAAATAAATAAATAAATAAATGAATGAATGAATAAATAAATAAAAACAGGAAATAACTTTCTCTTGAATTGGCTTGTGATATTTAACATTATGTCCAGGTTTCCCTCTAGTAATGCATGACAAAATATTCCATATGCTGAAGGGAAAAACAGAAGGGGGGCAAATGAAATGTGAATTTTACATTTACTGTAACTTCGTGGCTGCTGACAATATGAGAAATCCCTCATACACATAAGAATACAGACAGGGAAACAACTCTGCTACAAGTAGTCTGCCCATGAGTGTAGGGTTTTTCCCTTCTTTCTGAGCGGGACACATTAGAGCCACCGATTCAGAAGCGACAACTGAGGCTTACCTGGAGAAAGCTGCTACAGTGGTTAGAGACCATTTATCTTGCAGAGAGAACCCAGTGCAATCAGACGGGAGGGCTTCTGCAACAGGCTCCCCCTGCAGGCAGGACAGAGCTGCCGGCTCCTAGCAGGAAAGACTGAGCTGGAGAAAGGCAGGAAGAAGGGAGAGGAGGAGAAAGAACGGAGATGTAGACATGGGAGAAAGTAAAATGAAAATGCAACAAGAAAGCCGGGTACCAAATAAAACCAGTAATTAATCACAACAAGCATAAGTAGTTTAAATATGCTTACTAAAAAAAAAAAGGCTGTTCGCCAAAGTTACACTTTCAACCAAATTTAAAACTACATGCCACCTAAAAAATAAAGAAATAAAATATACATGAGGTAGCACTCATATGACAAACTGGAACTCAAGGCAAAAAGATTTCACACTAATAAATCATTAATTAATATGAAAGTTACTAATAATATTCCACATTAATAAAAAAAAAAACCCACAAGATTGCAGTAGCACCATGAACAAAAATGCCTCCAATATAGAAAGAAAGGCCCAAAGCAACAAAATCAAGAAACAGATTGACAACTGCAATATTCTCTAGTAAATCAGAAGATCCAAACAGGGAGAAATGCCTGTGCCAGCCCTGCCCAGCGCCAGGAGGAGGAGTGCCTACTGAGACCTGCCCGGGGAGTGCGGGGCAGAGCCGGTAACCCAGCATAAGGGTGAGACCTGCCCGGGGAGTGCGGGGCAGAGCCAGTAATCTTATCCACCAGGTCAGTGTGACCTGGGTGATGTGCACACAGGGTCTATTCTGTCTCAGCCATCTGGAGCGACCTTGAGCAATCTCTGTGCTCTAGCTATTGATTCCCTGTCTATTCTCAGAAATGTCCTTAAAATTAACCAGCAGCCTCCAAGGATGATGCGAGCAGCCTCTTCCCAGAGACTGTTTGTGAGCAATCATGTTCAAGAAAGGAGTCTTGGACTCAATAGCCACATATATTTATATATTTGCATAACAACAACGCATGAATGACTTGAGTAGACACTCAGAAGACTCTCCAATGGCCGACACACACAGGAAGATGCTCAGGACCACGGATCACTGCAATCGGAACACAATGAGCGAGTACCTCACGCTAGTTAAAACGGCTAAACAGCGACAAGCATGCAGGAAAGGGGAACTCGCACACTATCAATGGGAATGATGGAAAACAGCACGGAGGTTCATAAAAAACACCTCAAACTACAACGACCATAGGATCCAGCAGCCACAAAGAATAAAATTCTACCATTTGCAGCACTATGGAAATAAGCCAGGGAAAGACAAACACCACAGGTTCTCGCTCACCTGTGAAAACTAAAGCTAATCTCACCCAGCAGAGAGCAGACCAGGAGGCAGCGAGAGGAGGGAAGGCGGAGGAGGGCGGCCGCACACAGGCGCAGCTGAGCAGCAGGCTCTCCTGGGACAGTACAAGATGGCCGACACTCCTTACACAGGGACGTGTGCGGACAGAGGCGCACTACGACAGGAAAATACTGGCGTCAGGCGGTAGTCCACAAACCTGCATGTCAGTTAAAATCTACTTAAAAAGAGAGAGAGGGGAAGAAAATAGAGGAAATAACAAGTTTTACCACTTGGCACCAAGGTCCTTCCTGGGCTGCAAACTCCCCCAGTGTAATAGGATCCCCGTTTCCCGAATGTCTCCCAGAACCCTATTATTCTTTTTCATTTTTAAGATTCTATTTTTATTGGAAAGGCAGGTTTACAAGAGAAGGAGAGACAGAGAAAGCTCCTCCATCCGCTGG